GTTTCAATCATTGTTATCAATATTTTGAAGCCCAGTCGTACCATCTCCAACATGGCTTCCTTGAGGAGACTATAACTCAACTTTTAGAAGTCTACCATGACACTATTGGATTCTGACACTTCCGCGTTTAAATGATAAAGTTGGCTTAGTAGGCTTTCACCGAGTTTCAATTTTTTTTACTCATAGATTGTAATTCCTTCTCCCTGATTATGAGATTAAATAATGCAATAAACGAACATAGAAAACATGTAAAGGTTTATTCAAGTATTAAGCTGGATTTGAATGAACACAAAGTAATGTTTTAGGGCAATTCACCTTTTCGGCGATAGCCGTCACGTTGTAAACACTTTGTTGGATTGTGTTACAGTCAACAAAAAGTTTGGACATCGTTCTCAGATTATCCCATACAAATTCACTGAGTTTAAAGAGAAAATTTAGATAGATTTCTTTAGTTAGCTTTTTTAACAGCAGTAAGAAAAAGTAAATGATATTTTACTTGTATTTTAGGGAACTAACTAAACAAACCGAGTAAATATTTCATTTAAAGTCAGTACATTTGTACGGAAATCCAAGAACAATGTCCGAACTTCTTGGTGACCGTAACACAATTCAATCCAACACAATTTATACCACGTGACAGCTAGCGCCGAAAAGGTGGACTGACAAGCTTCAAAGTTGTTGAAGTGCTCGCAAACAGTGATCTTTGCACAATGATTTCCTCCAGAAAATAAGAAGTGATAAAAGGAGTATTCAAAAAATTACTAAAGAACAAAACAAATAACCTATTCCCATTGAATCTTGAGTTTTTCAGTTTCTCAAGGAACGAAACATTCCTAGGCTTTAATTGATATTAGACACTTAAACGCCATCTTGGCCAACAACTTGAAGATTTGTTTCAAAAAGCAATCGGCGATTTACATATCCGAATAAAGATTCTTCTGTACATTACTTTGATCAATGGCTTTCTCTAGTATATTTTAATATATTTTGATTTAAAAAAATTACACTCATCAAGAACATCATGCCAACGTCTTCTACTGATGTGAAATGTGATACACAACACATTACTATCGCATGTGGTATATTTTGAGTCAAGTTTATTTCACATACAAAAATTACAGTAAAAATAAGGAATATTAGTATTGATCAATTTAACAGTTATAAAATTTACAGAATAAATATTTACAAAGTGAGGTAAAATTAATGTGTATGGGTGTTGAAAAATTATAAACTATCGAATCAACAGCCCTTCACTATTAAAGAGTATCAAGAGAATAATTAATGCATTGACTAAGATAGTATGTTTTCCATTAAATATTGTATTTCAATTTTTTGAGTGAATGAGATAAATTTTTATTTGCTTTTTGAAGGTTTGAAAGAAAGTGACGTTTTTTATTGGAGTTGGAATAATATATATCAGTATAATAATATCAGTGATTTCATAGGCAATATGTAACTGTACTTTACATTAAGCATATATCACGATAAAAAACAAACAAAGGAATCATGATATTTAGTGTAAGAGTTAAAATAAATAACTACTTATCCAGTTGCTTGGTACGCTATATTTTGCTTTATCCAATATGGCGACTTTTGTGTTGTTGTTTGTGTCACCTTGGTTAGTACTTCCAAAAATGATCGACATCTTTTTGTGTAGTTCTTTCTCAAACAACGGTGTCTGTGTTACTATTTGACATGAGTTTATTAGACATAATTTGTTTTAAGGCTTTCTTTACACTCCCGGTTGGCTTTAGTATTGCCCCCAATGCTACGAGGTCTTCCAAGGTTGGCTACGCATTGCCTCATGCTGAATAACAGCTTTACTACTTCAAATCAGAATAGCATGCGCACTGACAATCATTCTCATACACAGAACTTCTTACCAAAAATTCAAATGCTCTTAGGTTGTCAGAGATTGCGTAGAAATTCAAACCATCTTTTCTTCAAAAGAAAAACAATCAAGCTTATTTATACATTGTTTATGGAACAGTTTATTTGTCTGATTAATAATACAAAAAATAAGCAATTTTGTGAGATCATAGATGTGTACAGTAAAGTAAAATCAGAGAACTGAAACAGACAGTTATGCGAAAAATTAAGCCAATAACATTTATGGGTGATTTGTGTGTTACCAGAGCCTTCAGTTTTTCGTTAGAAAGCTGAGAAGGCTTTTGGTACAAGAATGACTAAAAATAATACCTTAGTCACTCAACAAATGCTCAGCAAATTAATATTCTGAGCCTGAGCCTTCGATGCATCACAGCGGCACAAGACCCATAGTGTTTAATTGCAGATTTGGCGACTTAGAAGAAAAACGGCTTGGCCGTTCCACATGAACCCCAAAGTAATTATCCCCAGGACATGACTTATGATGAGAGACTATTAAACTTAATTTACTGCCTTCATATTCGAATATAGTGGAGAAACATCTGATCTATTTTTTTTAAGTCCAGAATATATGTTTATTAACATTACAATCCACTTGCTTGCCTTTGACCCATGATATTGAACACGAAATTATGACCCTAATAAAATTTTACAACTAATTTATGAACATAAACAGAATTACTACAGTAAATCATATTTCAATAAGACTGCTAAACTGAAACTCGTTGCCATCTACAATTAATCTTGGTCAAAAATGTTAAGAAATTTTTAGTTTTGATGGTTATTTTCATGAAAAACATGAAAAAATCCCCTTAAAAAGACCCCCCCTAAACAATGTTGTTTCAAGGGATAGAGGGCTGCTTTACCTACTGGGACCAACATTGTCCTGGGGGAGAGGGGGTACGGACATTATTTTTTTTAATAAAGGAAATTCTACTATTTCATGATTGGATGAAAAATTCTCAACTCTTTTTGTCCAAGATTGTAGTACTAAACAATTACAATCCTCCAAGCTAGAAATCAATACATTTTGACTTTCATATAAGTATGTAGATTTCTAAAAGTCCTTTATTTTTATTATTATAGGTACAGCACTGAAAATGTGCAACCCTACTGTTTATTTAGCTTCCTTTGGATTCTCTGTAAAGTGTGTACTTGCATTTCTTTGTGTGGTTACTCTGTCTAGTGCGTGACAAATCAAGCTTTCATTTCTCTTGTGTGCAATCATCACACCAATGTAGTTTATTATATTTCTCATTTCTATAGCTTTTTATTGTACTTTAATATTTATATATTTTATTATTTATATTTATGTTATATTTCTTCTTTGTTTAATTCTTTGTTATTTTGCAAATCTTGTAATAAATGATTGTTTTAGCAAGAGACCACCCGGGGGGGGGGTACTCCCCTATATTTGCTATACAGGTATGTGCCGCCCTATAGGGTATGGTTTTTCAGCTTTTGGGTCTGGGGTAGGGTATCATTTTTTGACATTTTGTCTGGGATAGGGTATCATTTTAGTCTGGGATAGGGTTAACGATTTGGTCATTTTTGTCTAGCGATAGGCTACGCTTTCTGCCGGCACAAAAACAATAAAAGCATTTAGAAAATATTGATTGCAATCTATTGAAAAACCGTTTTTTCCGTCTTTTAGTCTGGGATAGGGTGTACAATTCTTAGTTTTAGTCTGGGGTAGGGTACGTAAAATCAAAATCTTAGGTCTGGGATAGGGTCAGGGTTTTGAGGTCCAGGCGGCACACCCCTACCCAAGTTGGATCACTTTGCTTTTATAGTGTCCCATGGAGAAATTGGCATTTGTTTTTTTATGTTCCTGAAGAGTGCTTTTTGCCATGAATTTTTTGACACCTAGGAGTCTTTATGGGTAAATATGAGATAAGCACTATTAAATCCATGACTTAACTAATTAGTAAAACTTGGCAGACAAATTATCTATACTTATGTATGAACTTAGTTTGCTCACTTCAAATGATCATTTTCATTTATTAAAAGTTTAGTTCAGATGTTTATTTTATTTTACTTTTGTCAAACCTGGCATCTTTCTTTGATTCTTTTGATTTAAATTCATCCAAAAGTAAGACTGTTTGCACACTGATATCCCACACTGAACAGAGAAACTCAAATCCCTAGGATAAGTGTTTGAGCCTTAAATCTTGAGGAATTTTTAAGAGCTAAAACCAAGGACAAAAGTAACTTCGAGTAAATCAAGTTGGTTAGTAAGTAGTTTGAGTTAGTAAGCAGAAAACGTACAGCTCTAAGACAATATTGATAAATTTTAAATACTGATTTGCCAAAATCTTAATGAGTGAGTACAGTTTCATGACTACACATTTGGATATTCAGGTTTCTCGCAACTCGCTTCTACTCTTTTCATATCTATGAATTAAAATCACATTTTAACCCAAAAGGGCAAAACAATATTGTTTGGTTCCTGAAAATTTTGATACCCATAGATGGAGGAACTTTGAAGAAAGGTCTGCCACCCCTCTGCAATTTCCAATTTCTTTTCATACAAACCTTATTATTTAGTTTTTCCTCTGACCTGCACCCCCTGGGAGTTTCCAGTTTCCTCCATGCATGGTAGGGTATGGATATTTTCTAGAACCAAACACTGCATTTAAAAGCAATATAAGGTTGGCTTCTTACTTATTTTTGTCTGAAAAATATTTCACATGCTATTGTAAAAATTATTTCTGCATGAATATGTTTATTATTCAGAGGGCAGAAATATACAAGTCTCGAAATTGGATTGGGAACTTCAGCTTTTAATATTTGACTGCTTTTTCAACCTTCAAAGATTTATTTAAGATCCTTGCTTATTTCTGACTGACTAGTCAATATTCGTGGATAAATAAGAGTTGGGGTTGAAAGATGATGATATCAAATACATGGATCGTGTTCAGGAAAAGCCCAAAATGTTTAGACCAAACAGTATGTGTGCTTTGGTGATGTTTTGAGACAAAATATGCTGCCATTTTCCACCATATCCCTATCAGAGATATTATACTTTATGAATGATAATTTTTTTACTTCTTTTGGCTGTGGATATTGTGAAATATTGAATAAATAAAGTATCTTTCTCCTTTCTGTTTAAGCTGCAGAAGGAGTAAAAGCTACTCCACATTCAAGTTCTGACCGGATATCATCTGGAGTTTGGAGTAGGTTTGTTGATAAAGTAAAACGCCGAGATAGTCAGCCAAATTTAACAGGTAAGCCGCTTTGGTGGTCATTGAACATTTCATATCTTACATTACTAGACCAATTTTATTTAGCCAGTTAATAGTATACATGAAAAATTTACTCAATTCTGATTGGCTGACAGCATTGCAGTTCAAATGAAATACCAGTGCATTAAAATGAAATACCAGTGCAGAAAAATGAAATACCAGTGCAGATTACAAATTTTTAGGGTTCTGATTGGCTAAAAAACAATAGAAATTGAATTAGCCAATCAGACTATAGCAGTTGCCATAGCAACAGAACCACCTTCCTTCTCTTGAAGTTCTCAGAAAATTCAAGGTGGCGGATAATTTTCATCTTAAAAATGGAATCAAAAACGCTGAAAAAGTCAAGCTTCATCAGTTTAAAACCAGCAAGAAAGGTTAAGAATGGCAGGCGGTATAGAAGTAATAGAAGGTAATAGAAGGCGGTAACCGGCGATTTATTGCCGGATACTTCTGCCTAAACTGCCGGCTATTTTAGACTTAATAGTACACATAATTAATAAAAAAGGGACTAAAATTCCATTCATTACCAAATAAAGACATATAATAACATCAGTGGATTCAGCATTCTTCATTCTTCATTTATTTTTGTTTGTTTCGATGCAACAAAACCTGCCACATGCACATCTTTCGAAACGAGTAGTTGCCATCTTGATTTTAGAGTGCAAAGGTCTCTGGGTAATATAACGGGCTTCCTGTGGTAGCTAAGACTAGAGGTGTTCCAAACAAACAAAATGGCGACCAAGCGTATAATAATCATGGTAATAATTGTAAATAAGAGCTAAGTGTTGAAAAAAAGTTGTTTTTATTTGTTGTACTTGTTCATCTTAATTCAATTCATCAGGTGATATATTAAATAATATAGTTTTATTAAGGGTAGACAATGGCAAATTTTACATTATGTAACTGTTTACATTAAGTTGAAATTGATGCCCAAATCGCTGGAAAATGCATTTCTGAGGTTCTAAGTTTAAAAATTCAGACCCCCTAGATAGCTGCCTGTGCCACTGCCCCCTACTATTTGGGAATAACCGCTTACTCCAAAAATTATTGAAAGCTCTGCAAAAGGAGGACTCGATGCTTGTTATTTGGGAATTAAGAAGGCAAGAAAACATCAGTTGGTCCATTTTACAGCTGTTAAAGTCACTTGACACGAAAGTTGGAGCAAAATTCATTAAAACTCGATGTTACAACTTAATTAAACAAGACCTTTCGCCTACTTTGTCAGTAAAGAGGTAAATAATTAATACTTCTGTACAAAGAAAGCAGCTCATACTTTCCTTTGAGTGTTTAGGAATTGAAAAAAGAGGATATTTGATGATTTATATAAGTTTTGCAGAATTTCTTTGTAATATGCTTACTTGTTTTCTCAAAAAATGTCAAATATTTGAAGCTTTGAAGATGAAAAAAATGATTTCTAAACATGTTTTAATTTTTTAAAGATCAAAAGTAATCTTCGTTATTCTTATTTCTTTCCTGTTTTGAAAATATAGAATATTGTTTCGTAAACCGATTTTTGATGAAAATAATCCCAAAACGAACAAGTTCTTCGCTTTGTGCATTTTTTCCAACACCTCTTTTTGCTTTCTAAGTTGGTTGAAAATTTTTCATGTATACTATTAATAGGTAATAATATAGTTTCGAGTGCAATAAACCTTATTCGTGGTGTGACAATGTTTTCCCAATTGAACGTGACAAACCTCTTGGGAATAATGAAGAGCTATTGTTTTGCAACTCGTTGGGATATCGTTATTCCTTTGCTATCCTTTGGGATACTCATGAATTTTTCGAGGAGTAAAAACAAAAGAAAATGAATGCTCTGGAGGTTTTTCACACTGAATTGGGAAAACATTGTCACACCACGAATAAGGTCTATTTGGAAATAATTTGCACGAATTTGTTTTTGAAAGAGTCTGTGATTGCGTGAGGCCGTACGAAACAAAGTTAAATGATAAGAGGCAAAAAAAACGATTGAATTAACTTATTTCATTAGCTTACAGGGTCGGCGGAATTTGAAAATCTTTGGGGGGGGGGGCACTGCAAAAAATCTTTGCAAAAAATCACAACAATAACTTAATTATAACAGTAATAAAAATCGAATCTATGCATTTATATTTCATGTGAACCAATATTTTGTGGGGGGGCCTGCAAAACATTTCATGGGGGAGCGCGTGCCCCTGGTTCCGCCGCCCCTGACTTAGTAAGATCACCTCAACTTAGGAATGTTTTTGCACACAATTTTATTCTCATAAGTAAATATATTAACAAGTTTTGTTAAGTAAAGCTAGAAATGTGGAATGAATCAGCTGTTACTTGGAATTTTCTATCTCCATCTCTAAATTTGTTAACTTATGTGTAATGCAATCGAATACCAATATATTGATGTTTATTTTATTTATGGTAAATAAAATAAATATCAATATATCGGGTGCATTATTTAAAGGGGGACTAGCACAAAAATCCTCCAAAAATTAATTTGGCTGAAACTCCATTGGAATAATCTTGAAGGGTCTAATAATCACTGGTTAAAGTTTTTTCTTTATATTCCAATGAGAAGTATTATATTTTTTTCAAATTTCTGTAGGTATCTGTGACGTCATACACTCAACACATAGCATTGCTTCATACATTTCTTTGTAAATAACTTCATGTTTTACTCTTTTTCTATTAAGCCGTAAGGTCCAATGTGGAACCTAATGAACATAAGTTGTGGTTAGAATCATTTTTACGGTATCTTTTCTTCAATGCTGAGCATAAAACTAGCAAATATTTTGATTACGAAAATACAAAGAAATGTATAGAGCGATGTCTAGTGTTGAGTGTATGACCTCACAGTATCCTGTATAAATTCGTTGAAATATGATACTTCCCAACCAAATATAAGGATATAGAAAACTTTAACCAGTGACACTATTAGACATGTAAGGGTTATTCCAGTAACGTTTTAGCTGAATTAAAATTTGGATGATTTTCATGCTAGTCCCCCTTTCATTAAAAAAACCTTTAATTAAGGTTTAATACAATTAGTTTATTTATGGTGAATTTTCATTTATTGAGTTCACAAATTGCTCCAAGCAAGGCTGCTTGAGATGATAATTAGTGTAGAGCTTTAGCCACTTGCATGAACCATGAATAAATCAATTATAATTAAAAGTACTGACGTTCTTTGGAGCCTTGGCTTGTTACTTGAGGCTCTTGGTAGGACAACAATCTTCGAAATAGGTGTATATACATAACTACAATATTAAGCTACACAATGAAAAAAAAAATTACACAATTTAATAGGGTAAATAGAATTACACAGAGTAATTTTCATCTAGGTCATTTCTAGATCGAATTTTAAGTTAGAAGTTGAGTTTCGTGGAGGTAGGAAAACCAGATAACCTGGAAAAAACCCTCAAAGCACAGGAGAGAACCAACAAACAACTCTACTCATACAAGTCTGAGAATCCAACCTGGGTTGCATCGGTGAGAGGCGAGTGCTCTCACTGCTATGCCACCTGTGCCCCCCATATAATGGTACATGGACTCAAATATGTTAATTTTATTTTCTAGTGTTAACAAAGTAAATTTTTACAGTGCGATTATACCAGGCAAGGCCACCCAAACAAATTGTTATACAAATTAGCCAATCATGATTGAGTATTTAAATGATAAAATCTGCACACATTTTCTTACTGTTTAGTTTAAAAGCAAATATTTTACTTATGTATGATGGATTGAACAAGATACAATTTAAACTGTTATGTTTAGCATCAAAAACATGAATAATGATTTTTATTTAAAATTTGTTTGGTTGGCTTTGTGGAAATTCTTATTATTCCTTTTAAAAGCATACATTTTATTTTACACATACAAATGTGTGTTTGTATGATCATGATTAAACATGAAACAGTGTAAACTCCAGAATCCTTCACCATCCTGGTATTCAGTGTCAAAAATGCAATTTGTAAGTCTGATATAAAATATGTTTGGATAGCCATGGTTAATGTAGTAGCACTGTAATATAGGCAATAAGCTCCGAACAAGTGAGATATTCTGATATGCAAGGAATTAGATTATAGAGAATTTGCAGCAAGCCATAAATGAGGCCCTTTGGCAATGCTGTGAAGTACCTTCAATCTGATTTTAAGTCCTATAAGGGGGAGGGGGTGGGGGGGCTTCGAAAAAACCACAAAAACCAGAAGAGCTTTTTTAAAATTCTTACTTAAAGGGGCAGTTGGATGAAAACGCCCCGATTTTTTGAAAGTCCGAATAATTGAAGTATTGGAGGATAATGACTCAATTATGATTATGAAAATTAGATTAGTGAAAATTTTAGCCTGGGAGCCACTCGCTGTTGAGATATCTTGGGTTAAAAGCGAAAAGAACAATAGGGTTGAGTAAATGACGTCATTTACTCTCAATTTAGATGCTGAATAAAATTGATAATTTTTTCCCGCCACTTTTGACTGTGAAGGAAACATGTTGCTTGGCTACTATCTAGGCCATATAGATAAGTTTAAACAAGTTTCAAGTCATTTCCAATTTTCATTGTGATTTTCATCCAAGTGCCCCCTTTAATAGGGGTATGAAAAACGACGGACAAAGAATGTAAGGGAATTTAATAATAGATATTTCAATGAAGAGTTTATTACTTTTTTGAATCATTAAATCAAAGGTGCCCTTATGTGAATTTGTGGATACTACCTGCAATTTTCAGGGATTGGGCCACTCTAATGCTTGTTGACATTCGAAGCATTCTCGTACCTAGACCCTTCTCACCACAAGAATATATATACTTATTTCAATAAAGTTAGTCACCAAAAAGAAAGCTGTGATCGCTGAGAATGATGGGAAATATTTTATATCCAACAATTAAGGCTTTTGACACAAATTGCAGCAGTTTAGGATGCTCAGAGGAGGTGAGACTATGACTGGTAGAAGATCTCATCAACAGTTATCAAGCGGCTAAAACATGTTAAATGCATCTACTTATAATCCTTGTCGGTCTCGGCTTTGTAGCTTTTCTGGTGATTAACTTTATTGAAATAAGTCTAGACTTTCTCGAACATATAAAAGCAGCTACCTGCATAAAAGCAAACCAACATTAACTTGTTGCTTTAACTTGTTGCTAGTAACTATAGCATGAGGTGACCATGGCAACCTCATCATGGGTCAACCTCGGCACCTGTCACACTGTATGCACACATTTGACTCCCACTAACATAATGCTTGGCGAATTTTCTTTTTTATTTAACTTTGTATTTCCTGATGATAGTAGTTTGACAGTTGGTGCTAATTAACTGAACAAAAGAACGTGTGCAAGGGAGTTTGGTAGTAGCAAACGTCCTATAACAGTTTTGATTGTACTATAAGACTTGAAATTATACACCACCACTCATCTTCGTTGTTGATATCATCATCGTCGTCTTTATTGTTCGGACTCCTCAATTATATTCCTAATCATCGACAGTATCATCATTTTCTCTTTGTTCCCCACCGTTTATCATCATCTTATTGACCTGCCCCTGCTTTTTATCACAATCATTGGATTTCTTGCTAAACACATCTAAAGTATCTGTTGAACTTGTAGGGTATAGTCGTTTGAACCAATAATGTATAGCTCGTATTTCAGTATTATAAGTGATGTTATTGGTAGTAAAGGGGAGGGGATGCATAAGGTGGGCCTTGAAAATTATTTAAATCGTACTAGTATTTAAAATTCATTGCAACTTGTTTGTTTGTTTTTTTCTTCAGAATCACCTGTTATCATTTCCAAGAGGGAAAGACCTGACAGTTCGCCATCAGTTTATAGGCTTCGTGATCGAGTAAGAAAGAAATTGTCTGTAACAGATAAAGACGAGAAAGATATTTCTGACGCTATTCGTAAGATTGAATCATCTTTAACGGTAAAATCGTCTTACTCGCCGTCTTTTACGTCAAAGACATTTTTTCAACTGAAAAATCGGTTTGAAAAAGGACGAAAAAGTTCACGTGAAAAGTTATTTGACAACGAAGAAAGAAAGAAAATGGCTGACCAAACTGTTGTAACGATTACTGGCGAGCAGCAGAAGGAAACGGAGACAAAAGTAGAAGAGATTAACACTAGTATGTTGCTGGAATTAGAAAAAACTCGAGAAGCTACAGAAGAGCTCGCTACTAGCACCACAACCAGTGAGACGGAATTTTATATGAATGAGTTTAGCTCTCAAAAGCAGGCCGAAGAAAGTTTCTCTCCAACGGATGATTTCCTTTCGTTTAATCAGCAAGCACGGCAAATCCCGACTTCAGATTCTGTTGACTTACTTTCCAATGACAACCCGCCTTTATTTTCAAGTGAAGCACTACATCCAGAACAAGTAAGAGACGAAAAACAAGTCGAGATAGAGAAAGTTGTGGGAGAAGAAAGTCTGGTTGAAATACCCTCTTCAACCGACCAAGAAGCTCCTAAAAGCGCCACCGATTTCCTTGCAAAAATAGCTCAAGCAATAGAATCGGAACCGAGTGCGAATTTTGCTGAAACCAAAGAGACAACAGCAGCTCCTTCTGACTTCGTACCCGACGACAAAGAAGCGAAAACAGACCATGAAAAGCAGCTGGAAAATGTTCTTCAAGAAAGTCCTGCTGGTAAACAGGCAGATTTTGGAAAAGTTGCCGGAGAATCTGATGCCATCGAAGTTTCGTCTGAATGTAAAGACCTAGAGTCTGCTTCTCAAGCGTACGATGTACCAGAGCTGTACCACGAAGAACAACAACCAGGTGTTAATGATCATCCACAAATACCACTTGAACAAACTGGGGCAATTTCAGAAAAAATACAGCAAGAGGACGACGGACTGCCAGAGCAATTAACAAGTGACAAAGTCACTTCTTTGGAAATGGAAGTGGAAATCGCAACAGTTTCTAGAGAGGATGAGAAACTTGAAGAAGCTGATCGGCCAACACAAATGATTCGTGAAGATCTTTTCAAAATTGATAAGGAAAAAGAACCTGAATACTCTGGACCTCAAGTGCCAGGAGATTTCCGGATGCCTATACAATGGGATAAGGATGTAGTTTCTAAAGCACAGGAAAAATCCGATGAATGTGAACGACCAGTACAAAACACTGATGAAGTATCCCAGAATGCAAGCTTTGAGCAAGACAAATTGCCAGGTTTAATTTCTGTAGTACAAGATGAAAAAACAGTCCAAGAAGACAAACAGATGGCAAGAAATGTTGAAATAGAGGATGAGAAACTTGAAGAAGCTGATCGGCCAACACAAATGATTTGTGAAGATCTTTTCAAAATTGATAAGGAAAAAGAACCTGAATACTCTGGACCTCAAGTGCCAGGAGAAGATGTCCGGATGCCTATACAATGGGATAAGGATGTACTTTCTAAAGCACAAGAAAAATCCGATGAATGTCAACGACCAATACAAATCACTGATGAAATATCTCAGGATGCAAGCTTTGATCAAGACAAATTGCCAGGTATAATTCCTGTAGTACAAGATGAAAAAACAGTCCAAGAAGACAAACAGATGGCAAGAAATGTTGTTATAGGTGAAGCAGCACTGAAAGGCGAAAGTTTAGTGAGTCCAGCCGCAGAGACCGAGACAATACCTCTTGCAGAAAAGCCAAAAGCTGGGCAAGATAGAAAAGATCAAAAAGAAGCCAATAAGATCCTAGCCGATACTTCTTCGGCTACTATGGACCATAAAAAGAACACAAAAAAGGCTCCTACAACGAGGAAAGAGAATGTCAAAGCTGCAAACAGCTCGATTTCCAAAAATCTAACTGGACGCAAAAAGGAAGATCAGAAAGCAGAACGGTCTAAGGAATCTACTACAAAACCTCCATCTACTGATAAAACAGCGAAGCCCACTTCGACTACAACCGCGCTAAAGACAAAGACTGCATCAGCAGTAACCAATGCTCGTTCAACTTCTGCTACTAAAAGACCAGTCAGTGCGCAAACCCAGAAAACAGGCATTGGTGCGTCAAAAGCAGGTGCGACTAAGACCATCCCGAAGACAACCCCTAGATCGAGTGAGTCTAGGAGCCCTCCTGGCACAACTACCGGTAAGCTAACTACTGCCAAAGACAAAAAGCCTTCTGCATCAAGTAGAATACAGAAGTCGAAGGCTGTAGAATCAAGACCGCTTAGTGCAGTATCAACCAAGTCAACCGATAAGAAAGACAGAAAAGTAGAAGCTACTGCTCGGCCACTCAGCGCGAAAATGAAGCCAGCCTCTTCTGGTACAACCAAAACAACCGCCAAGAAAATAACGACCACTACAAAAACGACGAGTGGTCCTGTGTCAAAGTTTGAGGTCTCTAAGACCACCACTATTGGGAGTGGAATTACGTCTAAAACTAAAACAACAGTGAAGAAAAGTACAGAATCTGGAGGGAAAACAAAGGCTTCAATAGATGGAATGCCGCAACAGAAAGCTTCAGCTCGGAATAACAGTAGTGAAATGAAAAGGGACATACATGGAAAACCTGGTTCTGCTTCGCTGAAATCGAAACCACCAAGTGCTACAACAAGAGGGAAACCAGGAAACGTTATGGGAAAAGGAAAACCAACTTCCGAAAGGCCTAAAAGTCCTGCGAAAGGGACAGCCAAGAAATCTGCACCTACAAAAGACGAAACAACTGCATCTGCACCACCAGCTGCTACTGAGTCACCAGCTATTTCTTCACTTCAACAAGAAGCATTGGACTTCATGACAACACCTGACATAAGTGCCGCTTCAAAAGAAAATGTCACTACAGTAATGCAATGCACTGAGGTGATTAAAGATGACGGAGAAACAAAGGTTCTTCATACAAAGGAAGTTACGGAAAGAGTCTTGGAGAACGGGGAACAACAAACGATCACTAAAGAAACTGTTGTAGAAGAGAGTGGATAACCACACGAAATGAAGATGTGAAAGATGAACAATCTCAGATTATAATTTAATAGGTAAATAAAGATTTCACCAGAAAATGTTTTATAGAATTCAGTCAATAAATTAATAGCTGCTTGTTTGTCGTATAAAGAGCAGAAAAAAATTAAATGTTATTAGACTAAGAACGTTTGGTTTTTAATTTTGTGCTCATGTAAAACTGCATGATTAAAAAAACAGTTAAAGTAAAAGATAAGCTTTTCTTGCTACGGATTCAACCATAGTGTGTCAATTTTTCAGTCACGCTTTTCGAACAGCACAATACGTAAAGTATAGGGGGGGGGGGGGGGTGATTTTTTTCCTGGCTTCGAAAACTGATATCTTTCAGTGAGGTTTCTTCGTGAAGGAATAACATTTTCTTCAACGGAAAGTGTAAGTGATGTTTAATCGTTATTCAGTGATTCATAGGCTGAAAAATAGAATTGTAATAAAGCCAACTCGGTCACATTAGCGTTACATTTAATGCATAATCTGTATTTAAAATAAATACATTTTACATCATTTAAACTGGTTCCTTTTTGGATTAATTTTGTTTTATTTTAGGGAATATGGAAAAATTCATTTTGCTTTTTCTCATTTTATTTTTTAAGTAGCATCGTTTTAAAAATGCTAATTTTCCTTATAGAGTAACATGCGTTCGGGTCGTTTTCAAGATATAAAATATTCTAGTGTGGACTGCGTCGGTGTTTCTGAATAAAACAGTAGATAATTTAATAACTTGTAAATAAATTGAATCACCGTAAAAAGGTTTATAGAACTGTTTCGGACGTTAGTCCTTCGTCGTAGTAAGTCAATAAAAAGTATAACAATAATCGATAAAACGTTCGCCATGTTGGTTAGAAATGACACCGACGCGTACGAAAAACGTGATCTACGACCAAGTAGCAAGGTGTCTATGGGGAGTTATCTCATTTAGTAACTTAGTAAACAGAGAACGAAAATTATGTAGAAGAAGATACTATGAATCTACAATCCAACAACTTAAAGGTGAGATTCCCAGGATATGGTGGAGCGAAGTAAAACGCCTTAGTGGTATGAAGTCAAGGATCAACATCGACAATTTCTCTGATCTATCCAAGGAAGAACAAGATAATCAGTCCATCAATACAGCTTTTCTTGAACAGCTTCAAGATTACAAAATTACCATTTCCTCTTGATCGCATACCTCTTGGTGAATCTCCTGAGTTCCTGTGTGTTGCTGAAGATAGAGTCCTGAGAGTTTTAGCAAAGCTTAATCCCAACAAAGCATCTGGTCCAGACAATACCAAACTGGCTGCTCAAGGAGTTTGCTGATCTTTTAGCTTTTCCTGTTTCAAAGATCTTGAATGCATCATATCGCCAACAAGTCCTACCTAACATCTGGAAAATGCCGGCTGATATCACAGGAAAATATTTCAAAATCCCAACTTGGGAAAAAAATGGGGTAATATTGGGGTATTTTAGGGTTTTAATTGGGAATTCCTCAATATTTCCCAATATTGGAAAAATGCTACCAAATCCAAATCTGTGGTCAAAGTATTCCCAATAAAAAACCAACTTTGGGAAATTACTGTCCCAATATATGATCAACTTGGGTTTTTATGTGGTCAAAATATTCCCAGCAAAATCCCATAATTGGGAAATTACTGTCCCAATATATGATCAAATTGGGTTTTTATGTGGTCAAAATATTCCCAGCAAAATCCCATAATTGGGAAATTACTGTCCCAATGTATGATCAAATTGGGTTTTTATGTGGTCAAAATATTCCCAGCAAAATCCCATAATTGGGAAATTACTGTCCAAATATATGATCAGATTGGGTTTTTATGTGGTCAAAACATTCCCTGCGAAAACCCAGGCTGAGCACATGTACATACACTGAATTACACACAAGCAGAGATAACTAACAATAACTTTTATTAACACAAGCTGGTGCAATAGTCTAATGGTATATCATTATTACTCTTCTAAAATTGCTAAACAGAATATTACTTTATAAAATTTCAACTTTTTGCAATATTATATTTACATGCTAGAACAACTGGACTAGATTTCAATTTCTTTAACAACAGTAATATCGGATTTCTGCAGTTTAAAAACTATATACTTGTTACTAATGAGTTTTCTTGCTAAAATCTCATTTAATTCACTGGCAGTAAGTGGTGTTAAAGTTTTAGCTGAAATCTGAAATTTGCTTTTAAGTAATTTACATATGTCATCTCTACTGATTAAATGTCCTGTGACAGACTTTATGATTGATAATGCTGAATGTCTTGTTATCTTTAGAGAAGGAACCATTTCTTCAGGCAGTACACTAGTTGAGTTCTCGTTCTCAGAATCATCAGCTGGGAGCTCACTGCTGTCGAATAACCTCATTGTATCTGTTGTACTGGTATCTGACTCTGTATCTTGTGTTTCATCATCATCGTCCTGAGTACAATCCCTGTCCTATAGTACGTAAATAAGAATACACTTTTAACATTTAATTATTGATAATTTAAGTCTTATAGTCAGGCCTACTGATAAGTTGTGTGGTCCAGTTGCACTTATACGAGTTCAATGCAATCATAATTTCTTCCTTAAGAGTACATGTTAATAAAGTAAGAGGTTGAATGAAAATCAGAGGTTGAATGCAAAGAGAGGGAGGAGCCACAGAGAGGTTAGCTGGAGAGAAATTTAAAGCAATACATGACTTGCACTAAGAAATCATGTGATGTCTAATATTGAATGACAAATATGTAAAAATATAAAGAAATCTGGACAATCAAATTCATGAATCACACACTGAGTTGTAACAATTCCATGATGATCACACTAATTTTAGCCTGAATCATGTGTCAGCCCTAGGCCATCCCAGATGAAATCTACATGCAACATAACAATTGTAATTGAACACTTACCATGGACTGCAGTTCAGGGGTATGGTGCATGTTTTGTGCCTTCTTGCCGGCCTTGAATTAAGAACAAAACTATTTTCAGTAAAACTGTGACCTTGTAGATGTCAAACAAAAAAAACTATATACTCACCAAGGCTGGAGAAGCTTCAAGGCTAGAGGATGGTGAAATACTGTTTCCTTGACTGCTCTAGAAATAATGTAAAAGCAGCATGGTCAATGAATGAACTAAGTTAGAAGCTGGAACATTTCAATTAGGCTTGTCACAAATGAATAAATTCTATTATTTAATTGGGCCCTGTTATTGAGTGTCACGAAAATTGAACTACAGTTATCAACTAGTTGTGTTTTGTGGAGAGAAATTATTGAAGCAATTATAGAGTACAAACACTAAAAGTGTGCAACACTTCACACTATTTAGTAGCAAATAGTGCTAATTAAAACTCATCGTCTAGATAAGTTTGGGGTTAGGTACCATGGTGTGAGCTGTGCGCATCAATCAGACTACGCCCTACCACGGAGGTAACCATGGCGACCGGGCCACAGCTCACCACCTGGTACCTGTCACACTGACCACTCAGTGGAATAATACTCACCTTGCTCCCTCCAATAGAGGAGTGGGCGGGCGGGATAAAAATTTTTTGCTGCACGCTCACAGCCAAAGCTACCAAGACTGCTGGCAAAGCTGCCACTAAGTCCTTAGCAAAAACGCGCCCCACCCCCCACCCACACCGCATATTATTGGGGTGGGTAGCCGCTGGCTGCTACGACTCGGTTTTAACTTGCCTGAATTTCATTCATGCTCATTTAAACAATAGAATTAGCACAATGTAGCAGTATTTATGTTGCACACTTTTAGTATTTCTACTCTATATGCCTCCTGAATGACTTAATAGATATTATACTGTCCTCATATGAAGGTTATGACATCACAATAGGTATACAATGAATCTTAAATGCATATAGATGAAAATCCAACATAACGATTGAACATATACATTTACTCAGCTTTCATGACAGAAAAGTACTTTGTTCACATATAATTAGAATCTTACCAAACTAGGTGAGTTGGGAACATGTCTGTTTGTGGTTTTGGTCATCTTTCTCGTCTTAGCCTATAGAATTAACAAAACTATTTTCAATAAGGCTCTGTGACCTTAAAGATTTCAAAAATAATGCTTACCATGCAGGGCTGTCAACTCTCCCGGATAAACCGGGAGTCTCCAGATTTTGGGCCGTATCTCCCGGTCTCCAGATTAGAGTCTCAAATCTCCCGGACAATCCCCGAAGCTGACCATTTTTTCTTGTGAGACCCGAGTTTCACAACCATAAAATTCCAATTATCTTATGTTGTTTGTGTTATTTTACATCGCTAACAAAATCAAATCGTTCCTCATGGCTGTTCTTGCAAGCAGGCCATTGTAATGTAAGCGATAATCTGATTGGTCAGAAATAAACCAATCACATCAAATGTTACAAACCGAAAGGCGTCTTCTCGCGCGCTTTTTGACGCGCTGTGACGTCATGTCCCTTCCCTATCAATTCTCCAGATTTGAATATCTCGGGGGTTGACAGCCCTGCCATGGGTGAGGTTTCAGAGCTAGATGATGCAGATGATGGTGATGGGCTGCTTCTTTGACTGCTCTAGAAATTACATGCAAAGGCATCATGGTCAATGAATTGAGTTAACTTAAATTTGCATCAAGAACATTTCATAATTTAAAAAAAAACAAAAAAACAGCGTCACTATCTTTAGCTAACAGTTCCGCCATTGCATCTTGTTCAACGATATCTTCATCTACGAGAAAATTGTTTAAGACATTAAAATATACGACAAAAATATAATATAAAATGTTTTAACGCTACAGAAAATGATTTTTACAACAAAAAAAAATGCTACCTTAAGTATTAAACCCGGGTATTAAAACATGGCGGCAGTTTCCCATGGCGCAAGATTGATCAAAGTCAGTAAACATGAGTAAATTAAATGATTCTGTACCTTTTCATACAAAAATATGCATAATAATGGACTTAAAATTATATGAAGTAAATTTTGTATTTAAGAATCGTATTGCATTCATTTAAGAGGTCAAAAAGTACTTTTTTTTTGACGAGGGAATTTTGGCGCCAAAATGGGCTCAAGTTATTTTACTGAACTTACCCTCGAATGCTTTTGCGATTGTTTCGCCGAAAAGTTTCTTTAGCTTTTCGAAGATCGTTTCAGCTTCTTCCTTGTTTTCACTGGCCATAATACTAATAGTTTGATGAAACAAACTTCACCGAACGAAGAAGACCTGGAATAGACGACTTGCACTAAGAGGTCACGTGATCAAATCGGCCATTGTGGCTGGCATTTTACAGAATTTTAGCTATATGCGAGAATTTAAAAAAAGATGGCGGGTTCGGCTTGTTTTTTTGGTGACAAAAGGTAAGTTAGCGCACTAAATAACTATAAAAATCCCCTTTTCTTGCAAGGAATATATTCTTAGTAGATATCTAAAGTAGAGTTCTGCTATAAACTAGCCAAGAAGAGAAAACAAAAGGTATTTTTTGCGATAGGATGTGAAAACCTATGAAGTGCTTAGTCTTGTTTTGCCGGTTTCACGGCTTCATACTTAAAAACCGCTGATACTTAAAACTCTGGGCTCAATAAAAAGAGCGGGAGATTCGACAATTTGTAACCGGGTTTGTAAACAAGGATATTTTTTGCTTTTTATGAAGAATGTTCCAGCAAGAAAATACTTCCAGATGGAAAAGAAGTGATGTCACCTCTTGTGATTGCAACGAAAAGAGTTATAGGCACGTCCACTGCCCTTGTACGAGTTGTAATGGCCGTGCAACGGATAGAGGTACTGAAATGCGGCATTGGAAAGAGGCAAATTTATTGGATCTGGATTCATCTGATAGCAATAACCCTTGTTGTGATTCGATGGAAAGTGATGAAACTGCGAGTGATTATATGGAAGTTGACAGTCAGGATCTAGTAGAAGAGTTGGCTTTTCAGGAACAAACAACTGCTTGTGGTAGGCTTAATGATAATGCGTATGCTGACATCAATGTAGATTTAAGCAGTGATCAGCCTTACAATGATAATGCTGTAAAGAAACTCATTATTAAAGCTGTTTTGAATGCACTAAAAATTCAAAAAGATAGTGGATTGTCTATCAACACTTTCACAGATATTTTAGATTATGCTAAAAGATTATTGTTGGAATCAAACGCTTTAAACAGAGAGATGTTTGATCCTGATGTTTTAGCAACTTTATGGCCTAAATCATGGAGTGACGTGCAAGGACTTTTAAAGGAAGAAGGATACTCTGATGCAAAAGAATACTTAATTTGTTTCTGTCATTATGAATCAAAAGGTCGAAATTCTTCTGCAAGTAAGATTGGCAAAGTACACTGGCAAATACAGTATTATGGAAAGCAAAACTATCCTTTGCAAACATTGTGGCTGTCATGTCTAAACACTGATCTTTACGTGCTTATTAATTTAATCTATCAATTGAGTTTAATATCTGTATTTTTTTAAAAATTAAATTGTAAATGAACTCTTTATAATTACTGATCATTGTAAATTAATACTTTCTAACTTTAACTTCATGTGCATATGTATGTACTAATATGTATTTATTTCTATATATTCATTTTTATATATGACAATATACACCTTCATGCTTCATCAAATAATTATATCTAAATTACCCAAGCTTATATAAGACACCTCAAGAATATAAGCCTATGGTTTCTTCTTTAGGTGTCTTCCTTCTGGATATATATACATTCAATTATAAAATCTGCAATCACTATTTCTTTTATTACATATTTGTACAATTATTGTTAATAGAATTTTGAATACTTGTTACTATATTTCCAGAAAGGTGCATTGGTTTCGTGATAAGACACTATGTTAAAAGATGCTATCTCACTGGATGGAACAGGAGCACTGGCTAGGAAGAGATGAAAGTTGGCCACTTAAAAAGGAAATGTGGGATGGCGAGAGATGGCGGGAGCTGCAGTGGTTTTGGGACCCAAATGAAACTTGGGTAATTCCATGCTGCTGCAAATGCTGTGGTATACCAATATCAGTAGATCATTTAATCAAATCAGAGGATGGGCCAGTGGAGGGAATAAAAGTTGTAGAATGCCCAGAATACTTGGAAACGTTTGAACATTCTTTAAAAACTACAACTAGTTCTCCATTCAATATTGCTTTGATTGGACATTGGGATGGATGGCAAGCATTCAGTGGTTCAAGTTCAAGAAATTGTGGCTCAATGGAAGTAACAATTGCTAACTTAACAAAAAAAGACAGAAACCATACTGATGAGGTATATGTTCTGGGATTTGTGCCACTGACATATGTTCCAAAGTTACCTGAAACATATGATCCTTTCCTTGAGCCATTGATGAAGGATATTTGCAAAGGTTTTATTGATGGCTTTAAGATTGATACTGGTTCACTCTATGATATTGAAATGCAAGAAGATTTACAATGTGTCCGTGTTTTATTGCTTTGCTGGTCAGGAGACCACCCAGGACAATGTGAGATAGGCAAGCTATTAAATCAAGGCAAATGTCCTTGTCGGAGGTGTCAATTGATTGGTCAACATCTATCACAAAATGAATCCAATAATCACATGTATTATGGTGACAATCGTTCACACTATAGACATCAGTGGGAGCCACGAAAGATTTCTGAGATGTTAACTGATCTTTATGATGTCGAAGCTGAGACAAGGCAAAGTGTAAGAAAGCGAATGTCATCATATAAAGGTGTAACTGTATTTGTATCCACTTTATGGTTTTGACATACTCCAAGATTTAACATTTGATGTATTCCATACTGTTTGTCTGAATGTTGTGAAAAGCCAAACAGAAAGACTGTTAGATTTAAATCTAATAGATAAAGCACATCTAAATAATGAAATAAAGAATTTCCCATGGCCAAAAGAGTTAAAGAGAGGACGGCTTCCCGGGCAAGTTAAAAATTACAATGGATCTTTGGGACAGTGGAAAGGAGAAGGACTTCAAAAGTTCTCTTTTCCAATGGCAGATTGTGTACTTGACAACAGTATTGAAGATCCTAAAGAGCAAGAAATCCAACATTTAGTGTCAAGGCTGACAGAGGCACTTCAATACTGGACGATATGGCTGGACCGACACTATGATTGATGAGCACAGAAAGTTGTCATGGCACTTAAATATTTTGGTAGAAGAAATCCAAGGACTTCAAATGTGTACAATATCAATGCACAACCTTCTCCATATCCATGAAGACATCATAAGATTTTCTGGCACTGATAATTATTGGTGTGCTGTCTTCGAAAGAGCTGTCAAAGGCTATATAAAAAGATCTAGCAATTGTAAAGGGATTGAGAAAACATTTGCTTTTGCTGAGTCAAGAAGGGAATTCCTTAAGCCTTATACAGAAAAGAAAGATGAGGTTGGGAAGATTGACAATAAATTGGTAAGCTTATTTTTATCTTAGTTATTTATCAAAAGTTTGCAAATAAATAGCAGTGGTCATACGTTTGAGATGTAAATTATCCAATGTTTAAAATGGTAAAATTTGAAAGCATTTGATAGTAGAAAGAGTATTTACTATAGTCCCATTAACTACAAACCCCCAATTCACCACCACATGTACATGTAGCCATAAAATTATTACATGTATCAGTAAGTATCTTATTGTCTTACATGCTAACCTCTCACTTTAGGGCATTGCCAGTTCTGTTGATACTACTAAAGTGGCTATTGACATGAAAATCACTCCAAGTACATCCCTTCTTCTTGGTGCAATAGGCAACATTTCATTTCTGGAAGAGGCTGATAGAAGAAAATTGGCAAATATTCTATCAGTACCTTTACATAATGTAAGTGAAGTTGCTTATATATCAAAAAAATGCTTAATGGCAGACAGGAGCTTTGATGGTACTGTTTTCAAATCAGGAGAGACAGCAGTGATAACCATTAATCAGCTAGAGGTTGTAGTTAAAGTGCACATGAACCCTTCGACAATATTCAGTACTGATTCTGCATAAAGTAAATAGTTGATTGGTAAAATATTTCTTGATTTGAGTGATGCGTCTTTAAGTTATGAAGGTTTATACTTCCAATATGTTAATGATGATGACGTCAGGTAAGGTATTTGAGTGTTTTTGTTGTAACTAGTAATACTAAATGCTGGCCATTTTGAAAATAAAAATTGTAAATAGCTTACATGTAAACCATGAGTAAAATAATGATGCTTTTTAAATACTGTTTCTATGAACCAGTTCGATTTTGTATATTTGATTAAGCCTTAATAGACGTCACACTCATTAGCATATTGGAAGTATAAACCTTCATAACTTAGAAACGCATCACTCAAATCAAGAAATATTTTACCATTCAACTATTTACTTCGTGTAGAATCAGTACTGAAAGTATTGTCGAAGGGTTCATGTGCACTTTAAACTGGACATATTTTTGTCATTGAGAGTCAAAGGTGATGAGTCATATCAACTGCTAGTTAAAGGACACATCCATCCTTACTGTACAGTTAATGAAGAACAGGCAAAGCATTTTTGGACTGGATTTGTAAGTGTCAAGAACACACCTTTTGGAGAAGCAGCCTTTTGTAATGTCAGTGCTATCCAGAGAAAAGTTATCCTCTATGAATGTGACAAAGAACGATATACTGTTGTAGACTATGAGAGGCAAAAGCAACAGCTTCCTTTTGAGGTGGTTGTCCCTGTTTACCCAGAAAAAGGGGACATGTTACTCATTCAAGGAGAAGATGCGGACGACATCTGGTATGGCCATGCTTGCAACATTGATTACAAAAAAAAACTGTGGATGTGTGTGTTTTTCTTTGTGGAACATTCAAGAAAGAGAAACATCTATATCAGAGAAACATATGGAAATCGTGCACGGAATGTAGTTCCATGGACCTCCTTGATTGGAGTTGCTAATGGCACATGGAAAAGCTCTTCATTTGTACAGTGGCAAAAAGCTTTTGGATTTTGGTTGTAAGTACTTTCCCATTTTATTCCCATTTTTGGGATTCAGTTTGTAATCATTTACAATTAATTCCCAACTTTAGATTTTAATTTGAAATAAATTTCCCATTTTATTCCAATTTTTGAGATTCAGTTTATAATTATTTAAAATTCATTTCCAAGTGTGGGTTTTAATTGGAAATAAATTCCCATTTTGTTTCCATTTTTGGGATTCAGTTTGTAATTATTTACAATTAATTCCCAACCTTGGATTTTGATTGGAAATAGTTTCCCATTTTATTCCCATCTTGGAATTAAGTTTGTAATTATTTACAATAATTAATTCCCAACTTTGGATTTTGATTGGAAATTGAATCCCAAAAATGGGAATAAAATGGAAATCTGTTTGTAATCAATCACAATTAATTTCAAGTGTGGGTTTTTATTGGAAATTTAATCACAAAATATTCCCAATGTTGGGGTTTGGTTGTTTTTCCCCCCCAATGTTGGGAAATTATTGTAATCAGAAAAACAGAGCTGAAGCCATTCCAGTAAATTCCCAATATTGTATTTTGGTTTCCCAATTTTATCCCAACTTTATCCCAGTATTGGGAAAAATTCCCAAGAATTTCCCAAATTGTCTAAATTGGGATTTTGAAATTTTTCCTGTGTATACTCCCCTTACCGTAAGAAGAAACCAGTGCTGAATCTACAGAAAGACCTGAGACCTATATCCCTTACACCAAATGTGTCCAAGAATGCTGAAGAATTTGTGGTGGAAGATTATGTAAAGCCAGCGATTCTGAAGGTGACTGATGATAGTCAAAATGGTGCAATTCCTAATTCATCTACAACTATGGCATTAATCATTGTGCTTCATCAGTTGGTTACCGATGAGAACAATGGAACTGTTAGAACACTGTCATTTGACTATCGCAAGTCTTTTGACCTTGTCGATCACAGTATTTTAGTAAACTAGTTACGTAAGTTAAATTTGCCACCTAGTATAGTTAACTGGTTAATTGATTTCTTATCTAATCGTTTACAAAATAAAATTAGCTGGTTTCTCGGAGTGGGGTCAGTCCCCTCCGGTATACCACAGGGTACGAAATTGGGACCATGGCTATTTATTTTGATGATTAGCGACCTTAAAATCAGCTCACCATACTTATGGAAGTTTGTAGATGATACAGGCCCGTAGCTAGGATTTTTGTTGGGGGGGTGCTAATTTACAAAAAGTGGACCAACCATATACTTTATTTTTTTAAAGTCCCATAGGACGCATAGGTATAGATAAATTATCAAAGTAAAATTGATTTTTTTTTTTACTTAGTTTTACGTGAAAATATCATACCACCCCCTTCACCCCCCTAGCTACGGGCCCTATGATACCTCTGCGTCTGAGATTATTCCCGAGGTTATTCCGGGCGAAAGCCCTTGGAATTAAATTCGGAAAAATTAATTTCCGACCTCGCTTTCGCCCGGAATAACCTCGTTCCCAAGCACTATAACTTATCTATATTTCTATGTCTTCATGTATTTCATTAGTGCCATGCGGTCCACATATTCTCATCTTTACACGTGACTTAGTTCTTTTCTACTTATCGTGCGTAAGATCGGTCATAGATTATGCAATTCTTGTGTTTTACCATGCCCTCCCATGAAATCTAAAGGAGGAGCTTATTCGTCAGGAAAAGAGGGCAGTGTCAGTCGTTATGCCCGTATCAAGCTATAATTTAGGTTGTAAGGAATTGGGAATAAAACTCATAACTAACCATCATAAAGATCTATATATGTACTAATTTTTGAAAGAATTATTAACAATCCTCAACATAAGTTAAACAGCCTGTTGCCATCCAAACATTAACCGAAATATCATTTCCGCAATCAGCGCATGTTTGATGTTCCAAACTTTAAAACAAAAAGTTTGAAGAGTACTTATTACTAATACAATAGCATAATAAACACTAGCTAGTGCATATATAATTGAAATCAGTAGTATTAATTTCATTTATATAATTTTATTTTATTATATATATATATATATATATCGATACTTCCGAAGATAAAATTTAGCTTATTTATTATAGATATTTTATAGTTATATATAATACATTTTTTCATGATTGCAAATAGTTACGTAATTCAGCCTAAGGGCTGCTGTCTCACCGACTCCCGTCGTCCTTTGCGAGGCGATATCGAGAATCAAGATAGCGGCTTTAAAAAATCGCTAAAAATCGTCCCGTGCATTAACTTAAAATTTTGATTTTCGAACGATGTATTGAATGTCGTATTGCGAAAAATCGTCTTTGCGGATCGTCCCGTGTAACATCAGCTTTAGGAAGCCCTAAGAAAATGGAGGTTCAAGTTCATGCAAATAAGGACAAATCTTTCAAGATTTGACAAGATCTACCAATAAATTACTAATGAGTTTGATAAAGAATACTAATAAGGGTGAAATTGTTATATGGAAATCTTTATATAAAAATTTCATCCTGTATAAATTTTACTCGATCTTTCGAATTACAAATTTCTATTGTTCAATTCGGTTTTCGCATGAGCGGTTGAGCGTGATATCGTAAATTATAACATTTTTTTTCCTTTTTTTCTTTCCGAATCCGAATTTTAAGTAATTAAGAAGAAAATTAAGTACACGCGATTCTACTTATTTTTTCATATTATCCAGTGCCTACTACTACTAGTGATGCAAGCCATCATGACTAATTTTTTCGTATTTAAAGAAATTAAAATTAAAATCCAGAAATATGGTCCTTGTCTGCAGACATAAAATTGCTTTCTCTCTTTCTATTTATTTTTTTATTTATGTATTGATGTACATTTTAATTTTTGATATGGCGTAAGCTCATCAAAAGTACGTACACACTGGATAATTTTTTTTTAGTATTTTCTCATATACTAATATGCCACTCTTTTGTCTGGAACTTCACCTGTTGCCATCAATATATATTGGCATTACATCATCACACAAAAATTCTGTCATACTCGGCAGCTAGGCAGCCACGTAAACAACTGCCAAATTTATTCATCCGAATTCCATAGTGAAAAATACTCGTATGAGAGAAAAAGTACATTTGCAGAACGTAATTTCGAGGCGGCTGTTCTCTCGCAATTCTATTTCCACCAGACAACTAAATTTGCTTTCCTGAAAGACTGTTTTTGAAAACACGAAGTTATTTAACGTAAGAAAAAGGAGTATTCGGTAAGACATCCAAAATGAACAAAAATAATTTTATTCCATTCATTCTCTATGAGATCAGATTTATTTTTGGAATGAAACCGAAACCTTTATTCGGAAACCAATGTGTCTCATGATTGGTCAACGTTATTCTCAGACCCAATCAGGTTCAACTTTATTGATAATCGGAGACCGAGCGTAAATCGATTGGACGTAAATTGTGGAGTTTGGTTTGAAGATTGTCAAATGAAAACACTCGGCTTTATGGAAACCGCTGAAATGAGGAGTACAAGGAAACGTTCATAATTATGCGATATTTCACTATGTGGTGGCTAAATCATAGGATTTCCTTGTCTTAACAAAAGTTTTTTCTCTATTTTCTATGACATAAGAGTTTTTTACGATGGTAAGTTAACACAAGTTTTGAACTTTATTGAAATTATAAAACTTCTGTGATTTTAATTGATATGTTTGGTCATAGCCTTCGTCTTACCATTGGCAAAGCAAAGGAAATGTCAAATCCAGTGGAGTCGAGGACATGGTGCTGCTGCCAAAGATTCAAGAAGCAGCTATCGTGGAAAACCTTAGAAAACGCTACTTGGACGATCTCATATTTGTATCCTTAAATTGCTGAAACTTACTAACATCACAGCTGATATTATGAAAAAAATTCTTAGGCCTTAGTTATATTTTAAGATTTTTCGATTCAAGTAAACCCCAACAGTTGAAAGTTGTGCTTTCTTTTTCAATCTATGAGCGTTTTACTCTGAAATCCGATGCTTTATCAGTTCGTTATTCCATTCGATCATTCACAGGACATGCTTGAAATGGGTTGTATATACTAAAAGGCATTATTAAAGAGTAAAAAACTTACTCACAACGCACAAGCTAGAGGACGCGCTTCTCAGAGAAACCGCCTATGAACACGGAGCAAAGTTTAAGCTATTTTTATCATATTTAAGAAGTGCTATATAAAGACAAAGTATTCGTATTCATTGAATAACTTCAAAACTATGACCGGTACTTTTTCGGGTGTTATTTCAGGACTGCAAGCTCTTGTTTTCAAAAATATGAGGCTTAGTAGGCGTTCCTAAATAAAACTTACGCTATAAAAGTTGCTTGGCGGAAGCTACCCGACTGATTTCATATGAGGCTTTTTCATTGTCGCTAATGAAAACCCTGACACTTTATGAGCATTTGAACCGCTCTTTACAAACTTGATATTAAGGTTTGGGAGACAAATTGAAAATTACCAAAATTATATGGATGTTCAAAATTTTGTTTTTGAATATTAATGTTGCATGACGTATCATACATATAAATGGCCCCCATTACACCCAGTGCACCATATTTTTTTTGAAAGTTCAGCTTTTGGGATTTATTTTATTATTTGATTTTTTCTTTTTACTTTCACAAATATAAAAAAGGTTCCACAATAATTTAGCTTTGGCTGTTAATACTACACTAGAAGTTTGGCAACAGCTAGGCCATTTGCAATTGCACTGAGATGTGATCCTGTTCCAATAGCAATTTTCATAACCTGAGTTTCTGGGAGAAGAGAGGGGAAAAAGGGATTCTGCCCCTAAAGGCATTCCTCCCCTTTCAAAATTGATAATGTACTTCCACACCATTGACCAATAAAATGTTCTTCAGGTTTTCAAGATTGACATATCAAGCTGTCGAAACTTGGTTTGTCATTGTTGTCAAAGGGAAAATCTTTAGTAATGTCCTTTTCTCCTTAGAATACTAATAAGGATGAGTCTTTATATAAAGTTTCATCCTCATTAGTATTCTTTATATGTGGACAACCTTATCAGAATAAAGGTGCATGCACGTGACGTGTATGGTGGCTCCAATTGGACCAAAGGCTTATGAATTATTCATGAGTTTTTGAAGACTTGCATCAAGTCTTATTTGGACATTAAAAACGCTCATAAGAAATTTTCGAAAATCAGCAAAAACTTCTGAGGACAAATAGCAGGTTATAACAGAAATAGTTGATTTGAACTGAGCCAAGTATGGGAAATGTTTGAAATGAAATCTAGGGCACTTGTCACAAGGTATTGGAAAGCTTAAACAAAAGTTAAAGCTAGGATGCTTAGATCTGTATTATAAAAATCTTTCAATTGGCAGAAACTTAATATTTCCAAAATGATGTTCAGCTGCCAGACATCTAGACAGTGTTCTTGTCACTTTCAATACAACTTTCAGGCATCCCAGACGTCCTATATTTCCTATAATTTGTATAGGATCCTATAAAGAGCCTATATTTAAAGAAAACCTCCTATATTTCCTATAAGTAGGACAACTGCTGATTGATACATTTATATTTTACACTGTTTAGCATATTTGGCGAAGGAAATAAAATGGCCCCCCCCCCTTTTTTTTTTGGTTCTGTTTTTTTTTTTATGGCCGATCCCTGGTTACGCCACCGAAAAGCTATCTTAGCTCCTATAAAGTGCATACGTATATTTTTGGGAAAAAATCCTATATTTTCCTATATTTAGAACTTGCACAGCCTATATTTCCTATCAAATTTGTCTAAAAAGTGGCTGGGATACCTGAACTTTGCTGTTGCTCCTTGATGGAGATTTCAGCAAAATCTGGTAGGGTGGCAATCAAAGCTCTCAAGCTTGTTTTTCAAAATGCCATAATTGATTTTGAATAAAATACTCTAGTGAAATGAGCTATCAAACCTAAGTTGATGACAAAATATCTCGTATAGTGGTGGAAGATTTTTTGTTATTCAATTACCAGTAAATACCTATCGTTCTTTGTCCAATCAGAACCACATCCAAAATACAGAAGTCCAAATCAAGTTTCAAGTTTTCAATTCATCAAATCACTATGGTTTTTGTCTAATATTTATCTACTTTTCCATGTAATCACAGTCTTTGTTTCAAAAATTTGTTAACATATTGATCCCACAAGGTTTTGTGATAATTATTTTAGTAACTGTGAAAAACGCTATTCAGCCAAGCTGTTGTGTCAAAACAAACTCTGAGAAACAAAAAGAGCACCCTGATACTAACAAGAAGCCAAATTTATGTTTTAGTTTATAAAGTAGAATACAGAAAAGAAAAATGTGTATTGAATCGGAAGGCAAGAGCTTCCGTTCAGCTTGTTATTCAACTTTAAGAAATTTATAAGAAACCACAAGAAACAACTGCAAGATGGACCTTCTTGTTCCTCAAACTAGAACTAAACAATTCCAGAACTCATACTTCAATAGATTGCCCAGAATGTGGAATCAACTGCCTGCCGACATCAAATCGTTAGATTCTGTTTCAAGTTTCAAGACTGCTCTCCACTTACTGCATAGACACTTATAAGACATGGAAATCAATCTGCCCTAAATGCTGTACTAYGAATGACATTACTAKCAAACCATTATGTTGCTACTGAACTTTACTTAGCATATCATTATGATATGTCTCAATATATCATATGATTCTATTCTTATATCTTTTTCTTATTTACATCAAGTTGATTATAAGTTCACTAATTTTTCAGTCATTATCATTATTATCACACTATCAACTATGATTATATCCGTCATCATAACATATGCCATTTGTAATATTATTCCACTTATTATGTGATCATATTGTGGCCGTACTTTATTTGGAGTCATACTCTGTTGTACGGACCATGCCACTAATTGTTTATGTGGTTAAAGCCTGATAAATAAATAAATAAAAGTTGCCTAAGGATTGACCCTATGGATATGATGAAAACATTATACCCATATATGTCTAATAATATGAAATTTCCTTAACACTTAAAACAGACCTATATTGGCCCAGTATTGGTTTCTGTCAATCCTTTCAAACAGATGCCATACTTCACTGACAAAGAAATTGAACTTTATCAAGGCGCAGTAAGTATATCAATAATCATTTTTCTCAAAAGGAAAGCAGGGGTGGGAGAGTGGTGAAAGTGCATGTGACCTGGGTTCCATTACTGGACTCATTTTTATACATGTGAGTAGAGTTTTTTAATTTGTTGGACCTCTCCTGTGCTTCAATGGTTTCTGTTCAGGTTTTCAGTTTTCATTCCCCCTGTAAAGATCAGCTAAATGCCAACTAAATGTCTTCTAAATGCAAATTTGGAAACAAGGGTCGCTGTTATTTTGGTCACTAGCTATTAAATGCTACCCCTCTTAAAATAAGGAGTATTATTTTATTTTGTTATTAATCTTCCATAACCTTCTATGTCCTTTTCAAAGGTGTATCATTAATGGGTATCTGTATTAAAAGTATTCAAAGTATGTGCTATAAGAGTAGTTTTAAAAAGAAAAAATGTATTTTTTGAAAGAAAAAAGTTATAATTACCAAAACGTTTAGGTAATCAACTTGCCAATGTGGCTGGTAAATAAGCAAATTTCATAACCTGAAACAAAAAAATTAACTACTATTTGACTAGTTGACCAACAAGTCCTGGCATTTCTTTTGTTTCGAAGTGTAGCCCAAAAATGTTCGTTTGGACAGTAAGTGCAACAAAGTTGTACTGGCACACGCACACTGCACATCATATCTATGGAGATTTTAAACAAACAAACACAAAGCACAAATATTGAACTGCAAAAGGCAATGTCTTCAACTCTTTGACAATGTTGTTGAAGTATGCTTTCAAGTTTCAGCATCTGATCCATCCTCTTGTTTTTTGACAACTATAACTGCTATTTTTTTCATTTTTTTCCTTGTATCATAAACGTCAGCCATGATAAGTTCAAACAAAATGGCAGATGATGCTCAACATGTTGGGATCGTTTGAACACAATATCTAACAATATCCAAGATCTGCCAACAATGTTGGGCATTGTTGCGTGCGTTTACATGGGCCTCAAGATGTCCAAACAATTAGAGTGATAAGAAGTATTTAAAAAAATAATTATATGACCTGGTTTTGTCTAATTTTAATAGGCCTCCTATGAAAATCCTCCTCATATATATGCCCTCACAGACAACATGTACAGAAACATGTTGATTGACCATGAGAACCAGTGTGTGATTATAAGGTAAGTGTGTCTTGTGTTCTGACTATAACTATAATAAATTTTTGCTATTTCAGAATTTGCCCATTTTTTGATCTTTCAAAATGGTATCCAGTACCCTTTGATAGAAAATAGGATGGTAGTGTTCAGTGGAGAGACTCAAACTTCATCAGCATCAGTAAATCAGTGATCGTTAGAAAGATTACAAAATTGTTCAAGAGAAGAATAAAGACATAAGATTTAAGGGTACCGATTTAAGAATAGTTCTTAGATTTCAAAGGAATACTACTTTCTCTAATCACAAGAATAAGGATATATTTTGAGTTGGAGCACTTTAAAGCAGATGTCTTCCCTTCATGATGGTTGGACCTCGACTGCAAAAAATTATGTTTTCACCTATTATTTACTACGAACGACTGACCATCCTCCTCTGTTACRAAGAATCCAGTAAAGCTAGTACAAGTAGATAAAGGCAATCGGGTTAAAACGCCCGAGAGTTCAGTCGCCTGGAGTCGTGGTTCAGTCGTCCGCAATGTATGGTTACGAGCTTTTAAACAAATGGTTAGGAGTTTTTTGTAAGTTTGGAAGCCGATTTAAAGTCAGCTACGAATATTTTACAAGCCAATCATGACAAACTGGATCTTTGTTTGATTGGGTTCATACCTCATAAAAATTGCCGAAAACTAATCTAAAATGCCTTACAAATGTTTTATAAAGCTTTACTACCTCTAAAATGAGTCATATTTGTGTTATTGGTTTGACAATCCCCTTAAGTAATGAAGTCCGGGCTATTGAACTGAACCACAGCTCTAGGTGACTGAACTCTTGGGCGACTTAACTGTAATTCAGATAAAGACAGAACCTGCCTATTTTGTGGTATAAACTTTAGTTTGGGCCAACAAAAGAGATTTTTAAAATTATTTTTAGACTTTAACTTTACGAACTGGGCTAAAAAAAAAAGAAATTAAAAGTGCACCACACCCCTAACTAAATATTTTCATTTATTATTCTAAATGAGATGTACGGTTGAATGTTAAAATATTTTTATGATTTGAGTGATGCATCTTGAAGATCTCAAGGTTTATACTTCCTATATTATTAGTGTGACGTCAAAGGAGGCATTTGAATTTATTTGGAATCATTTGTAAATAGAAACAGTTATAGCTACAGTATGAGAAAACAAATTTGCAATATCCTTTCTATAAACCCTTTGCAAGCCGATGATGTTTATACAGGATGTTTTACTTATCAAGAAAAGATAATTTCGTATATCTAATATATCACATTCATTAACATATTTGAAGAATAAACCTTGATATCTCCAATATTATGCATCATTCAAATCATATAAAATTATTTTACTATTTAACTGTTTACTTTATGTAGAATCGACCCGAAAATACTAAGTAAAGTGGTGAAGGGCACTCTAAGTGGTTTTCTACATTTGCTCATGCCTACTACTCATTTCAGAACAGGCTTCAGAACTTGTTTGGTTCGTACATGGTCGTGGACAGTGGGCAGTATATTGAAGAAAACGGTCTAGGTCAGCAGAGTCTCCCATTTTCTCTGCCAACAAGGGAGACTCTAGACTCTGCTAGTAGGGAAGTCCCAAGGCTGATCATGCGGTTCCACAACCATTCATAATTATAATTTAAGAAATGCATAGCAAATGCACTTTAAGCAATAATAATTGTTGATAGTTTTTATTTGTCCATTGTCCAATATGTCCATTGAGGGTTTTTGTCCTTACTAGTCATACCTTTTGCATTACTGGAAGGTTATTGTCTCTATAGTCATATTCAGATCTTATATGATATATATTTATATATCATTGATTTCCTTTTTACATAGTGGAGAAAGTGGAGCAGGAAAGACTGTTTGTGCAAAGTTTATTATGAGTTATCTTGCCAAGGTTTCAGGAGGCGGAGAAAATGTGCAGGTACAAAATGAGATATACATTAAATTACAGTTAAATAAAGATTGATGATAGAATTAGTTTATTCTCATGCTGAAGGTACTCTATGAACTGCATGTATTCATTTTAAGAAAAACAAGCCCTCATATTCAGATTATCAGCATGTGGCAGTAAAAAAAAAAAGGAAGAAAGAAGAAAACTTTTGCTAATTAATACTCAGGGCATTTGTACAAACAATGCATGTGACCTTGCTCATATAATTCCAGCACCAGGCAGAATTTCAGTTCATAATCTCAACTATTGGAGAAATGGCATTTGATAAAAAATTAAATGTTTAGGATTTTGTGTTGGAAAATATTTGGTTTACAAGAGCTGAAACCTTCCCTTTTTACTAAAAACGATAACTGCGTTTTTTTCATATCTTATTTTAAGGAGGTAGGGTGAAATGAATAATTGTGATGTTGCATTGTGCAATGGCTATTCCTTTGATTGGAAGGGCAATAGAATTTATTGTCTGATTATACAAACTATTTTTGAGCTACTTAGAACCTTATCAAAATAAGTTATTCTTAATTAGGTCTAAGGCTATTCTTGGCTTTTTGTAGAGAATAAAAGATATTATATTGGAGTCAAATCCTCTCTTGGAAGCATTTGGGAATGCCAAGACTGTCAGGAACAATAACTCAAGCAGATTTGTAAGTATTGCTTCAAGTACTTTGGAGGAAAAACCATTTGGCAAAGAGATGCAAGTAACACTAAGTCATCATTTCAAAACATATTAAAATCAATGTTAATTGCTTCTTATAATTTTTCAATTTTATTGTCACTCATTTGAAACATTTGCATTAAAAAAACAGACGTTTTGGTCCAAACACAGACCTTCCTCCCTTTATCAATCACCTTGTGTTCGTATTTCCAAAGTCAAATTCTTTTTCCTTTTCATTTGTGTGTCTACCTTGTTGCAAAAGCCTCTTTCCATGAGTGAAGTATACCACAACGTTTCAGATTAATATCCTTCAAAGGGTCTTTCAATCTGAGTAAGTGGACAGCCAACCTTTCTAGAACCTTATGCTAATATTCACTGTAGAGAGATGCTGGTCATTCATCTGTCATGCATGCAGCTTGGCCCAGTCTGATTCTGAATAGAATGATCTCAATGCAATAATACGTTCTGGTCATCGACAAGTGTCCAGTAAAAATGAGGACTTGACTGGTACTGTAAAACAGAACATGTAGGTCATAATGGACAAGTTTTTTGAGAGTTCTGCCCCCAACACCGTGCCACCTTACAATTACATTATTCTCACAGTGAAAATAGGGGCTAAGATCGGAATTACGTTCGATGAAGTTGTGGAGTCGACGAATAAAGGATTGTCCCAGAATAAGAATGCGCTTGTCAGTCATAACACAGTTAGAGTGTAAAAGTAAAATAACTTGCCTGATAATTTTACAGTGAACTTGCTCGACTGTGAGAATAATAGGAAAGAGGCCTCGTGGTAGTAAGACATGCATTAAGTACTGCTACGTAATAACAGTAATCATATCCTATTGGTCGACTTGAGATATGCGGATTCATSTAGTTGGATTACCGGATCTAACAACAGTATAATGTTTCCACATAAATGATTTTGATGACTTGGCAGGACATTTGAGCAAGCACATTTCTTTAATATAAAAGTAAAGACTGAGCTTACTTATTGACGAAATGTCTGTTATTTTTGAAACAAGATGCTCAGAGAGCATAAACAGTGTGTTGTGTCAGGAGTTGCGCTATGCATGTCACACCACTCAACAAGACGAAATTGACCAGAAATTATGCTCATGCCAAGGAGGTCTATTGTTTGTGAACGTGGCCTCAGCACTTAATGAGTGTATTTCACTCTGAAAATTTTACATATTTTACTCATGGAAATAAGTCAAGATTTGCTACAAATTCCTTTGCTATATTATTATTCAGTGTTTCTTTAATTCAGATCAGTAAAGCTTAGAGTTTTTAACCAAGTTTGATATCGATCAAAGTGTTGAAATGTAGTTCACTCTGCAACACTTGTTTTTTGTTGTCCAGTAATTTGCTGTAAACTCCGCTTGTGAGTAGTTTGAAAGTCCCAATAAAAAAGCCAAAGATGAAATCATTGGCCACATCCTTGAAGAAAATGTACATTTGGCGTTCGCGTTTGCTTCTAATGCGTCATTTTTCACTGCAGTGAGTCCAACAGGTCGGGTCGCTGGTTCCAGCCCTGCGGTCATCACAATCATGTGAATTGAGTTTGTTTGATGTGTTGTTCTCTCCTATGCTACGAGGGTTTTCTCTGGGTTCTCCGGTTTCCTCCCCACGTAAAAATCAGCATGTGAGTTGAACGTTGTGTGCATAGAATATTTTGAATGAAGTGGTAGTGCATGTGAGCAAAAACTGTCCCCAATTAGTGTGAAAGCGCTAGAATGACTAGACACTTAAATAAAGATTTTTCCCCCTCTATTTTCCATTTTGTTGAGGAGGGGAAAAAGACGTATTTAAGACTGGTTTGCCACAGGCAACCCAGTAGTGATGAAATGAATGAGAATTTTTGTCCAGTAACACTTGGGTTTTGACAGGTCAAATATGCATCTAAATTGGGCTTCCTGTTTTAATAGTCTTGTTTTAATCAGCAGTATTACTTTTTTCAACAGGGAAAGTATGTAGAGATTCAATTTACAAGAGGAGGGCAACCAGATGGTGGGAAAATATCCAATTTTCTTCTGGAAAAGGTTTTTTAAATATGTATTCTTTTTTTGTTAAATACACAACAACTCTATTTTCTTCTTGTTGAAAAGGTTTTTTTTAATATGTATTGTATATAATTTGATATTTACATATGACCATACATATATTTCCTGGTTATTATTAGGTACATCTGCATCTGTAGACTGAAATGGTTCTAGGCTTGCTTGATTATGATCCTCAATTTACAATTATCACTTAACTTTTCTCTCAAATTTTGTAAACTTCAAAATTGAGAATACAATCTTTTTGGCATCCTTAACTTTACTTATAAATAGATATTTCCAGAGTATCGTGAATTATTGACAGATTAAGTAGTATTTAATAAACAAGTAGGAGTGTTTTATCAAGTCTTAAACAATTAGACATAAGCCAAGTGGTTTTAGACCTAATAAAACTCAATCTGTGAGTTTTTTTAACAGCTTCAAAAACTCTGAAAATAATTCAATAACCTTTGGGTCAAAGGCATGAACCTTAAGCAGGGCTTAAAATAACTGCTGGCAGCTAAAAATGCCAGTTGCCCGGCCAAGTGTAAACAGTCTGGTCATCTTGACCAGTCAGGTTGTGGTCATACATTGAACAGAATTGTTTATTAAAGTCCATACAAGGCTTTTAGAAATATGCATACCATGCTATTTTAGTCCCATGTTAGATAAGGTGTTCATGATAAAAATACTTCTTACTTCTATTTACAAAGTAACCGATTGCATTTAAACAATTTGCACTGTTTGCTACCATTTTCAATATTCAGTAGTTGCAAGTTGCCTGTTGGAATTGAATTTTCTTTGCCACCAGTCAAAAATATAAAAGGTACAGCTGATTTATATCGTGATTGACAAAAGCGAAAAACAAAAGTTCAGTGTGCTTCAGGCCCATAACATCAAAATTCCCACCAGAAAATTAGTTATTCAAGACACTGAAAGAGTTTTCTCATATATAAAAAACTCCACCCACAATCCAGGTTTTTTTATTTTTACTACTACTCTCATGAACATTTTTGAAAACAATTTTTTTGTACTGCTGTCTAATCATGGTAACAGTCTGAAACATAAACAAAAGGACATCAAATTTGCTAGCATGTACTATTTGAATACAGGCAATTATAATTTGTATATTTTCCAGCAAATGGCTTGTTACTAATCTAGTGTAGTTGAAAAAAGTAATTCCCATGTATTGTTAATTAATAATTCACAATATATGAGATTAGGCACAAACAAATCATTAACTGAAGTTTTTTTTTCAATAACTAGTTAAGTTATTATTTACTCTATTGCATAAGATTAATGAAGGATGAAACGAAATCCACGTTCAATCATGTATAATATGGTGTCCATTTGTGTGTAGTTTTTGCATGGATATTTTTTTCATTATGTATATACTGACCCACAGCACATTTTGATATGCATTTCTGTAGTTAAAGCAGAATTAATTTGCATTAGATCTACAACTGAAATCAATGAATAATTGTTGTCTTCTTTTTTTATGTTGTTGGATTGAAGTTTATTCATCACTGATGTATTTGCAGTCAGTCCTGACTTATAATTTATAACCAAAATCAACATGTTATGCACAACAGTCTATAATATGTAAAAATGTACCAGCTGCTTACCAATAAATTTTATGTTTATTAAATTTGACAGTCACGGGTGGTCATGCAGAACTCAACAGAAAGAAGCTTTCACATATTTTACCAAATTCTCAGTGGGGCTTCTTCTGAAGACAAAGGTAGGCCCTAAAATGGGTTCCCTAAAAAGGACTAAATTATTCCAAAACTGTCCACACAAAACCATCCACACACGTGAACAACATTGAGGATAGACTCATTGAGGATAGACTTATTGAGTCAATCTTCATATCATTCACATGAGTGTGGACAGTTTTTGGTTGCTACTCTGACTTTGAGGATGTTTTCTGTTTTTTTCTTTTTCTTTTCCATCTGATCATAATAGCCTTATTATTGCTGAGTATTAAAATACAGTATTAATTGTGCATTATTCCTAGGAAAGTTTGGTCTAACAGATCCATCATATTATTACTACCTTAATCAAAGTGGAACATATACCGTAGATGGTACCAATGACTCTCAGGAGTATGAAGAAACAAGGGTAATATTACAGTTTTACAGTAGTTGTTTCTATAATATGATATGACTACAAATGTATACTTTAAAGAACATTTCCAATTGGAAGATCATGCTTTGTATACTGTAAGTTAACAGTAGATACCCAATACAGTCACCTTCCAGACTATTTAGGCAAGATATGGAAAAGGATGGAGAGACATCATTATTACTAGACAGCCATCATAGTTGCATTAGCAACTGGCTATAAAGGAGCAAATCATAAAATCACAGACCAAATGCATTCATAAATATGATAAATGAACCCCTCACAACCTACAATATTGACACATTAACCACGCTGACATCATACTGTCTACCCACCAACAAACTGCTGTAAACTAATCATTAATACCCTACTGACAACTCTCTGTTACTTTTAGTGATAATGATCATTTCTCATTTTGTATAGTTGATCCTTTCTGGTGTGTTGAGATTTTGATACAGTGCAAAATTTCAGATATTTTTTTCTTCCTCCAAAAAATCAATTTCCACCTTATTTTAGTTAGTACATTATTATGATTGTGTAATTCCAAACATCCATACCCCCCTCACGGAGGAATTTTTTTAAGACACCCCCTACCCTCCGGAAATTCCAATTTTCTTTCATACAAACTCTGTAATTTTTGTTATTTCTCCGACCCCCTTACTCTTCGGAAATTCCAAATTCCTCTGTGGGGTTGGTATGGATGATTTCTGAAACTACACATTCCGGTTTCTTGATTCCTTGTGTTTTCATTCTGCTGACAGTAGGTCGATTAAAAAAAAAAATTAACAGAATGAATTTATTTTTTCAACTACAGAAAGCCATGGATGTGATTGGCATCAGTGATGAGAATCAAGCTGATTGTTTGGCAATAGTGGCTGGGGTGCTTCACATAGGTAACATCTGTTTTACTGAGGATGGTAACTATGCTGTTCCTGCTGATGATGAATGTAAGTCTGACTCAACAAACTTCTTGTTTGTAAAATGTTGATAAATAATTAAAATGTTTAGAAAATTTGCTAAACAATAAAAGATATAGCTATGTTATTGGAACTCAGCGTTATATAGTCATTATGCCTAAATATGTTGCCTTCTTTTATCTGTACAGTCTTAGGAAGCTACAGCTATCTTTAGAAGTTTGACTCAGCCATTTTTCACTTTGCCTTTTGATAGATTATTAGACAATTAGGTCACGCCCAGGTATCCCAGTGTACAATTTCATACTTAAAAAATTATTCTCTTCTGTTAGACTAGTAGAATAACAATAATGTTTGGAAACCCATCTGCAGTTCACTATATTCATAATATATTACCTATTTACTTATAGGTAGCTAAACAGTCACATAGCTTTTTTATTTAACACAGCTTTCTTTTTGCCATGCTTTTTTTCTAGTTTTACAGTACCCTGGATATTTGTTGGCAGTAGAACCAAGTTTACTCAAAGACAAACTTACAAGGTATTTAGAAATATTGATATGAAGTATTACCTAAAAGGACTCTATTTTGGTTGGGCCCCGAAGGGCACCAAGCCGAGCATTGCAAGTCAATCGTTCGAAGGGTCAGATAATAAACTTCTCTTAACAAAGGTAATTCCCTAATTTTGCCCGGCACATTTTTCTGAGCACAGGAGTAAAATCATGGAACTTACACAGTTTAGTAGTAAATTTCTTATACTCAGTAAAAAATTCTATCTAAGGCTAATTTCACTCAAAGTCAAAAATTCAAGTCAAAAATTGTGATCTTCGTAAAACTTGACCCATTTTGCAACGTTTTTTCAAAATAAATCCAAAATGGGAATATGGTGACCCTCATCTTTATTTCACATGTGAACTTATAGAAGACTGTATAGCATCCGTAGAGCATCCACCTACGAAATATGAATAAAACGATATTAATCATATTAAGTAGTGTTTAAGAAACGAGTAGGAGTGTTTTATCAGGTATTATACCTGATAAAACACAATCTACAAGTTTTTTGAACTGCTTAAAACACTCATGAACAATTTATAAGATTTTGGTTCAACTGGAGCCACCATACACGTCACGAACATGGATTTTTATGCTTCGATAGAGATTTGACGTCACGGGCATGCGCAACCAGATTCAATAGAAGCTCCCACACGTTGGATATTGCATGCCAAGGCAAAGACAGGCACGTCAGTCAAAGATCATTAGGGTTGACTATGACCTTGATGAAGCTCTATGTCTTCATCTAAACTTGGATGCATACTTCATCCCTGATCAATGAAGTCATCCTCATAGTATTCGAGTGGTTTTTATATAAAGATCACAAGTGTCTTTATATAAAGTCACATGTGTCTTTATATAAAATCACTTGAATACTAATGAAGAGGACTTTATCGGGTATAAAGGTTCATGCACATGACGTGTATGGTGGCTCCAATTGGACCATAAGCTTATGAATTATTAATGAGTGTTTTAATCATTTTTATTCAACCTCCGGTTGCATCCATATTGGTCATCAAGGCCTTATTTGGCCATATTTTGAGGTCATTTAGGATAAGAAAACAAGAATGGTGGCCCCATTTTACATCCATATAGACCCAATGAATGACTACAAAGTTTGGGCAAATGACATTTCTATGTCTATTTCAAGGCAAATAACCTTAACTGGGCACACTTACCAAAATGCAAGAGAAAACGTAGTCTTCTGTACAATTTTGAAATGCTACTGGGACTCCTATGTCTTACGACTCCTACGTTTTTCAGTTTTCAAAAATTCATCCGATTGCCACGATTTTTAGATTTTTACTGACGTTTTTCTTTTCCGGGTCTTGGTGTAATCTACAGTCACACTTTTACACACACAAATCTACAGTCGTTTAGACAATTACAGTCATTGTAACGTTACAATTGGTTTAGACTATTTTAGTAAACAAATTTTTTTAAATTCCTTATGCCGTGTGGCACGTCTTGTTGTGTGATTCACCTTGAAGAATAACCACATCACTATCAGATATTTGTTATTAAAGATGTCAGAGAAATCAAAGCTTCATGATCAACTGTCCAAAGTTGATCAAAAACGTTAAAAAAATATGAGCCTGCTAATTAATGGTCCACTTGCTACTTAATGGCTTATATAATACTTTCCTCAAACCCTAACTTGTACTGACTAGTAAAGTCCACTTAATATTTACCTTACAATTGTCTCAGAGTTGCAAACAACTACTCTGCATCTCTGATACAGTCCAATTTACTCACTTTTTCTCAAGCACCCTGAAGATGTTAGGCCCTAAATTGTTAACATTGCCCAGACATCCGATGATCTGTGGAATCTCTTGTATCGTCCATCCTGGGCATTGAACTCGGAGCTCGTAGCATAGCTGTTGGTACTTGAACCTTTTTTCCAACTCTGTTGCTCTTACACTTTCTTTGCAAGGACAGCCCATGTCTACAGCTGTAGGATGATTATCTTCTTCTCATCCACATACTCCAGTACCAAGTCTGGGCGTCAGTGCGTTGTTGCTGTTCTTGTCTGTCAATCATAATAGTCCTATCTAAGCCCTCTTTGTTGGGTCTCAATGACTGTTCCTCCCTCCCATACCTCTTTGTACCAAACATACAGTACTTCGCTTCATGAGCCCTCCTGCTTTAGCCACTCTGTAGCAAAAAGCATGAGTGCATTGTCATGACGCTGAAGATATTCTCTACTTGCCAAGATCTTTCAGTGAGCCATTATTATTATTATTGTTAATTAAGTTATTATTACTATTATACTTGTACTATTTATACAAGAATGATATAATTAATATGTTTTGCACATTTAATGTTTTTTTGTCTTTCCAGATATTTTCTTTTGTTATCAGTAAATTATGATGATACATTCCAACTTGCATTTGATATTGTTGATTTTTACATAACATTTTTCCATGATAGCCGTGTAATGGACAGCAAATGGGGAGGAAAATCTGAAATCATTAACATGAAGCTAAATGTTGAACAAGTAAGAAAGTAAATAGTTATATATGACTGTTGCCTGTTGACTGAAAGCCATTATTTTGTCACTGCACATGCTGTTCTTTGACATTGCATTATGTTTGCTAAATCTCTCTTGAATTTTGAATGGAACTGATTATCACACAATATGTTGTAAGGTTAGGGATAAGTAAATTAAGACTACCAATAACTTTTTTACCAAAACTTGGGTTTTGCTTCAATATGTAAAAAAGAGCATTTTTAGCTATTTCAAAGTTACAATTTTATTACTAAGTATTGTGTTTTGCCTTAGGCCTGTTACACAAGAGATGCACTTTCCAAAGCCTTATACTCCAGGCTGTTTGACTACCTTGTTCAAGTAAGACTTGTTTGTCTGTTCACATATGTAAACATTTCTAATCCTTCTTGATTATCTATAACTAAAACTGATGGAAAATGATCCCTTTTTACAGTCTGTGAACAAAGCTATGCAGAAGGATTATGTTGAGCTGACAATTGGTGTACTTGATATTTATGGATTTGAAATCTTCCAGGTAAAAAAAACATGATTTTATGAGTTGTAGACTATTTTTTTCTTCTTTTGTTTGGGAAAGGGTATACCAAGTGAAAAGGGTGTACTTACAACAAGCAGCCTTTAATGAACAATTAAACATCAAAGTAGATTTTATCCATCAAAGTGATTATCGAGGGATATTTGCTGAGCCACGAATCTCTGAGCTGTGAGGAAAACATTTTTTGATAATCACTGAGACTGAGGTGACTAATAATTGTAAAATAACAAATTAAGGTGATTATTCAAAACAAGGCTATGTTGCTCTTAAAGCATTGATGTTTTGGCTCTTTTGCTTGTCGTGCGTTATTTTTGTTTTAGGACCAAAATTGTCGATTGTCTCTAGAGAAGAATTTTCTTTCTCCTATTTGTGTTCATATTTCTTTCAAAGAGTACCTTCTCCTTTCATCTAGCCACTGCTATGTGCTCACTCTTCAAAATTACAGTCACGGCTGTTTGAAAACATTTTGATACTAAAGTGTATCGATCTTTTTGAGCACTAAAAATGGCTGGTTCTCTCTAGAGAAGCATTCAGTCTTTTTCCTGTTTGTGCTGATTAAATAATATCCTTTATAATTGTAACAAAACTAGGCTTAAAAACACTCTACTGAAGAAAATGCTTGCTATTTCATGAAGCCGTCACCATATTTCATTGGATGCTTGACAAAAAAATGACATCCCATTGACACCACTCACAAATATTATGGGTTAGCAAACTAACTACAGTACCATTTCCTCCCAAAGAAATAAATATTAATAAGCCTATTATTATATATTTTTTCTTCTGTAACATTGACATGCCGACAAGCAGTGATCTTGCCTAAATGCTATAATCACCTGTCATGGGAAGTGCTTGAGCAATCAGCACACTGGACTTTCCATTATCATCTGTGTTATTTTACTAATTCATAATGCTTGAAGGTGAGGTCATACGCTGAAAGTTGCATGTGCAACAAACAGCATCACCTGCAACATTGGTTTTTGTTGCCTGAGGAGTTGTGTACGTAAGTGGTAATACAATCAACATCGCTCTTCAACTTGCAAACAGAAAAGTTGTGTGACAAGCTGCCGTACGATTTTGTTGCCAGTATTACCGCACTTTGAGGATAAAAGAACTTTTTATATATGACCGATGACCGAATTAGTAATATATAGAAAGTTCATTATTCTCACTCCACTCCAATGAATCTTTTAAATAACTGAGGTTTTTTTGTTCACAGAAAAATGGTTTTGAGCAGTTTTGTATCAATTTTGTCAATGAAAAACTTCAGCAGATCTTCATTGAATTGACACTTAAGGCAGAACAGGTTGGTTTTTATTTTGAGTACTGTCATAACTGAATTGCTTTCTCTATATAATCAAACATTTGATTTGCAATCAACTAGTTTGTTTATACCAAATAAATAAAAGTTATGGAATTTTCAATGTTTTTATTGCTACACACTCATTGAGACAAAACATCATGACAGATTAATGGGCAATAGACAACTTCCAATAAGATAAATCATTTCCATTTAACTTTAATAAGTCTAACAATTTGACAGTAGTCTATAGCCCATTAACCTGTTGCAATTGTAGCCAAAAAAAACAGTGGTAAGATGGAACAGGTGATTATTACATGTTTCTTTTGTTGGACACCAGTATTTAACAAATAATGTTGGTATTTCTATACTTATTTATTACTAACTGCTATCTTAATAATATAATTCATATTACCAACAGGAAGAATATGTAGAAGAAGGAATCAATTGGACGCCTATTGATTATTTCAACAACAAAATTGTTTGTGACCTGATTGAGACTAAGGTACTCTTTATTGACAAAATGTTTGTCCCTTTCTTTGTCTATATCTTGAAAATAAAATGAAGGCTGTGTTCGTGCTTATATCGATCATGAGAAAATTATTTTTAAACCGATCTAAAACTTATTTGGGTCCATTCACACTTAGATCACTTCAGAGTGATTTAGACTGGTTATGGTTATTGGACTTTTTTTTAAACAGGGTGACCCATTCAACTAAAAGCTGGTATCCAGAGGGGCCCTAAAGGGGGCCAGGCCGGTTTTGGTGTTCTAAGAAAGGGGCTACCATAATTATCTTCATCTTACAATGTACATCTATAGTTGAAAAATATGGGATTGTTTGCTTATGTAATTGACTGCACATAAAAACTTAAAATGTATATTTTATATATAATATATATTTAATCAAATAGCATCCAAAAACTAAACAAATTTTTAGTTATGGTTAGCTTATTAATTTTGATCTTTTTAAATAGCGTCCCCCCGGAATTCTTTGCGTAATGGATGATGTCTGTGCTACAATGCATGCAGTGGGAGAAGGTGCTGATGCAACATTGTTAGAGGTATTAAAGGAATTGTTATACACTGTCCTATTGTTGACTTTATTGAGGTTTTAAATCCCTTATTGATATATTAATTGTCTTATATAATTTATTTTTCTTATTTTTCTTTTGCAGAAATTGGGCAATTCAGTGGGAACACATCAACATTTTCAATCTTGTAGTGGTGGATTTATTATCCATCACTATGCTGGGAAGGTAAATACCATATTATTTAAGTTCATATCACCCTATTTTCTCTATATTTTGATGAATCCTATATGCCTTCAGCTTTAAAATGGCATACAATATCATTTGCTTTAGATCACTTGCTCCAGGCTGCTCGTTCCAGAAAAAATAATTGTTCTAAATTCAATAAAATAAAATTCAGAGTGCTTCATAATGAAATTATACTAAGGATTTGATTTTGCTGGTTTCTCAAAAATTGTTCTAGCTCTTTTTCCAAAAAGGCTGATACCGGTAGGCACTCTCGGATCAGTACTATTTATGATAAGATAAGATAATAGGGCCTTTGTTTTAATTTTAATTTTAATTTTAATTTAGTACTGTGTACATGGGGAACTCAAAATATTATGATCCATATTTTTAAGAACTCTCACTTCCTGTTAAATATCATCAGACAATATTCGAGAACTTGTGGTATTTTTTGATAACGTCTTCCTCATCACTCCCCTTAACTTATTTCAAAATATTTCTCCCTTGAATGGCACTTAAAATACAACCAACATTCCCCCTCCCCCCCCCCCCCCCCCCCCCTCAAAATTAAAAGATATTACATTTACATACGAAGAAACTACAGGCCATCTTATCGTTAGCCTGCGATATCCGGATTTGACGCAGGCTATCTTATCGTATTGGCATGCATATTTCAGTTATTATACTCGTAGCTTGGTAGAATTTGAAACTAGGTTCATATTTCTCAACAGGTTTCTTATGACTGTGGTGGTTTTTGTGAAAGAAATCGTGATGTACTCTTCAAAGATTTGATTGAACTCATGCAGTGTAGTCAAAAGTAAAAATATTTTCTATGTTTTGCAGGGTTGGATCAAGGGGTGGTAAAAAGGGTGAATAGTCACCCCCCTTTTCCTCGAATTCCTGGTAAAACCTTTGTAATAGTCACCCCCTTCTAAAATTCCTTGATCTGTCCCTGGTTTTGGCGTAAAATGGTTTAGTCAAAAAGTTATATATAGCCTCAAAGCGATTGTTTTATAAATTATAAATTTATCACCAAGAATGCAGCTTTCAGGGGCCACTAGAAAACTCATCATGCTAACGAATTTGCCTTTTAGAAATACATTTTTAAAGATCTTTGTCACAGCAGATCTTGGATCATGCTAAAACCAAGAAAACTTATTAATTGGGATTTTGTCGTCATGCTTTGATATTATGGCTAAAAACTTCCTCTTGAAAAACGTTTCTTTTTCTCACATTTCTTTTTCTCTTCTAGTCCTTTTATCGCTTCACTTTTCCCTGATGACATTAAAAGTGAAAAAAGAGGAAGACCAACAACAGCTGGTGCCAAGATTAAGGTACGTAGTAGTACGTACTGAAATACATAAAGATATGTATGTATAAAATATAGTTTTAGTAGTCGCTTGCCTGAAGGCTCCTGTGTAGAGGGATTTTATTTAACCCGTGAAAGACTATTTAGTTAAAATGACTATTTAGTTAGTACTAGTTGCTCTACTAGAAATTGCAAGTGACTCGTGGGGTAGTCCATCAAAACCATGTGTTACTCAAAACTATTCTACAATACAATACAAGTTGAGTGATAGTCACTAAATAAAAACTGTTCATACCGTGTTTCGGGCATTTGATTGGATTGAGAGTAAAAATTCTCGTGCGATGTGATTAGGCGGACGCATGCCTTGCCGTGTCGAGAGCGTGTACATGCCGTGAAATTTTTACAAACATACGAAAACTGCTCTAACACCTACACGCACTCTTGTTTGTCGAAGTGTGCCTCTTGCAGAGATAAATAAGATTAAGGAAAATTTCTCTCTCCGTTATTTATTAAATTCACTTGTTTAAAAAAAACTAATGATAATTATAAATAAAAAAACACTTGTCAACGTGATTAGGGTCTACTAATGTGCATTAGTCTAATATCTATTTCACGGGTAATGACTTCACTCTATCATGACAATGATGATAATAATATTAAAGATAATAAAACAGGGTCTGCAATCCTGGGATGACGGTTTGCTAAACAAAACAAAAATGTAAAACAAGATAAAAAGTAGATAGAAAAAGAAGTTATTTATCCTTCTAAAGTCTTTGCAGATAGGGAAGGGAAAAACCTATTAAGCTTTGGCTGTCGTATCACACAGTTTTGTAAGGATTATGAAGGATTATTGTTCTCTAGAGAGAATCAACCATTTTAGTGCGCAAAGAAATCTATTCGCTTTAGTATCAAAACGTCTTTCAAAAAGCACCGATTGCAATTTTCAAGCGTGAGCACATAACGGCGGCTAGATGAAATAACAGGCGCTCTTCAATATAAACACAAATATCAAAATAGGAGAAAGAAAATGCTTCTTAAGAGACAATCAACCATTATAATAATGATGATGATGATGGTGATGATGATGATAATAATAATTAACACTTATATAGCGCCATTTCCAGAAGCTCAATGGCGCTTTACAAAAACAAAATTAGAGTGTTCAAAGTAAAGAAAACCTAGCCAAGAATAAGAATTCCTCACTCCACACTATACAATATTGACTTACACGTAAGTTTCCCAGTTCTAATTAAAAATTAACACACGAGAAGAAAATTAGCCGAAACATCATTGCTTTAAGAGCATAAGAGCCTTGTATTAAAACTGTACACTCATTCATGTCACAATGTTTTTACCATACCTCAACAGGCACAATGCAACACTCTTGTTGAAAGGCTTATGAAGTGCACTCCACATTACATCCGTTGCCTCAAGCCTAATGAAACGAAAAGAGCTCATGACTGGGAGGGAGACCGCGTCAAGCATCAAGTGGAATACCTTGGGCTGAAAGAAAACATTCGTGTTCGTCGAGCTGGCTTTGCATATAGGAGACCATTTGATAAGTTTCTACAAAGGTAAGAAAAATGGAATAATAAGACACGATAGTTCCCTTCACAATTGCCAGCGCCATCCTCGAAAGATAACCGTGCCTAGTGTTCATCAAAGTGGACTATTATTCACATGTCTCTACCATTGCATTGTTTGTGTCGTTCTTTTAGTATCACAATCATGGTATTCTTATATCATATCATATCATATCATTCATTTTTATATTTATTATTTTAACAGATATGCAATCTTGACTAAAGAGACGTGGCCTAAATGGAAAGGAGAGGTCAGGCAAGGTATCACGCATTTGATGAATGCCGTCAATATGGAGAAAGATCAGTGGCAGCTTGGCAAATCCAAAGTATTCATCAAAGCACCAGAGTCGGTAAGTTGCAATACTTTGATCCATTTAGTAGATCTTAAAACAGCATAATCATTAATCTTGTTTTTATCTGTTTAGTTGTTTTTGCTAGAAGAACTCAGGGAGCGTAAATTTGATGGATATGCCCGTCGAATCCAGAAAGCATATCGAATGTACAAACATAGACAGTATTTCGCAGAGCTTAAACAGCAAGGTAAACTACGTTACTTAGTAAAAATTGTTGAAGTACGGTACTTTAAAAAAAAAGAAAACTGGAGTTTGTCATTTCTTGTTAGCATTTTTGAATCGAGTGATATTCATGTTTCACGTTTATGCTAATTGGGAAGTATATGATGTCATGATGTCCAATTTCATTATCATAGTAGCGAAACATAGTGGTACGTTAACTGAAAATCAGGTTATAATTGTTTTATTTTCAGCCTCAGATATTTTGTTCAACAAGAAAGAAAGGCGGCGGTGCAGTATCAACCGTAATTTTGTTGGAGATTACATTGGATATGATGAAAATCCAGCTCTAAGAAGCTTAGTTGGTAGGTATCAGTGTGTTATGTTAGGATTAAACATTGTAATACGTCAAGTTTTCAATCTGACTTTGTTAATCGTCTTCTACTAGAAAAGCGAGAGAGAATAGAGTTTGCCGCGACTGTTAACAAGTACGACCGTCGCTTTAAACCAACCAAGAGAGACCTACTATTGTCTAGCAAGCACATATATCTGATTGGACGAGAGAAGGTACAGTACATCGTGTAGTTGTACAGAAAAGGACCTTTCTGTAAATCACTTACTGTAGGTTATCCTCAGTAAAGATGATGATGATAGTGATCGTAATTAGAGAAGATTTGCTTTACTTGCATTATTGACTTTCTCATTGCACTTGATGTAGGTCAAGAAGGGTCCAGAGAAAGGCAGAGTGTTTGAAGTAATTAAGCGAAAGCTAGACATCAAGTCGGTTGTTTCCGTTTCTCTCAGGTAGGTAAAAATGATTTGTTGTTTAACATGTTATTCTTTGTCAGACATTCCTCTATTAGTCTAAGATTGAGTGACCAGTCTCACTAAAGCTACGGACACACGGTGCAACATTGCTCTCAATGTTGCATGCAATTGATGTTGTGAGCCATGACACACGACCCATTTTGCTGCACGCAACGTTGCTGAAGTAGAAAACTATCCTACTTCAGCAACATCATAAATAGATGCTGTTGCACCGTGTGTCCGCGCCTTAAGTCAACTGGGTGTAACTGTATTTTATAGACCAGTAGATCTTTTTATGTAAAATCGAACTTTCGATTCCTTCCTACTACAAAAAAGGTTTTTAAAGATACGATAAAAGTCATATTTTTCCCCCCAGTCATTTGCAGGACGACTTTCTAGTTCTCCACTTGCCAGATTACGATAGCGTTCTAGAAACTGTTTTTAAGACAGAATTTCTTACTCTACTGGCCTCCAAGTATGAAGATTCAACTAGTAAACAATTGAAGATAGACATTTCAGGAAGGTTAGTATAATAGTATATTTATATTTATTACGCATTTGGGATCGATATCAGTGTGATGAAGCCGCGAGAATCAAAACCATCGCAGTGAAGTTTTTTATCAACTAGTACTAACTAAATAGTCATTTTTCTTTCACGGGTTAAATAAAATTACTTTAGTATATAGCACAACAAACTCATATAAAGGAGGTTGAACAGTGTGACAGTCATATAGTATAAATCACGTCTTCTTGCTTCAAAAATTACCAAAACTAAGTTAAAGACAGATATCCGAAATGTTCGATTTGAAGATTTAGTAAATTTTCTCTGAAAGTCAGGAAATGTCATGTAAGGTTAGCACGTTCTACCAACCTCTGGTGCCCCCCCCCCCCCCTCCCCCAATACACACACACATGCTGTGGTAACGAAACTTGGTAGGATGTAAGAAACTCGTGTTTTCAACAGTTTTTACAGTCTCTGACCGTTTGCGCATGACGCTTTGGTCCAAAATAAGACGTTTTGTAAAATCTCGAATTATATTAAGCACAAATACATAAATATTAATTTATTATTATTATTTTATACATATTAAATTAACCTATTGTTCAATTGTTCTCGTTTTTTTTGCTATTTAAAACTCTAGAGTTAATTCAATCTGTTTACTAGATAGTGTTGTTAAATTAACCATTATTATTATCAATACTTTTAGTCATAATATGTATGCAATCACAGAGTTAACGTACTTTTTTTAGCTCCTCGCCCTCGTAAGATCAGCAATCTTACTGCATATAAGTATTCTAGTCAGTAACAATGTAATACTTCACTTCTGTCATAACTATTCATAAAAAATGGACGCATGTGGTGTTCGGCTCGTAAGTCTCGTGGTATGCGACAAAATCTAAGATGTCTAAATCTAAATGTCTCGTGGTCATTGCCTAGGGAGCCATCAGATAAGGCATTAGGTTGTAAGTCACGACTATTTACAAAAACTTTTTGTTCGTAAGTAATGTGGTATGTGACGTCATATCTCATCATCATATGATCAACAACACAAGTCCCAGCCATGCCACCAAGTTTTGTCGTTTACCATAGCATGCTTCGTTCAGGCAATATAGCCAAAGGGCCATGACATGCGCGTCCACCAGAGAACGACATGTTTGGCCCACGAGAGGTATGTGCAAGCGAGCCAGTTCTCGTAATGACATAACTACCTGCAACCGTTTGTAAGTCATGACTTTTCACAAAAATTGACGATAACATTCGGTTCGTAAGTCACGTGGTATGTGACTTAACGTTTTATCACGTGGTCAAATGACTTACAACACTAGTCCTATTCATGCTACCAAGTTTCGTTACCATGGCATGCTTCGTTAGAGCGTCATGGTCAAGAGGCCACCAGAATATGGAACGCTCTCGCTGATGAACTAAATCTGAACATGGACAAACTCAACACATTTAAACGCGCCATGTTAAGTTACTACGTAACGTCACTGGACAGTTACAACTGTTACGACCCACGTACTTTTAAAACAGTTTGTTTAAAATGTAACTCTTGCAGAAACCTCACTCTTGCTACCTCCTGTTGTTAGTTATTTGATTCAAATGTGTCAATATATCTACTTAAATTATCTTTATGCACTAAGTTTCATTTAAGACATTATTTGGGCCCGCAGTAATTGGCTTAACACTGTTGCGGTCACCCTGTCATATATATCACAGTATTTTTTCCCAGTTATTATATTTCCAGTTTAATATATGGCGAAACTAATAAATAAATAAATAAATCCTTGTGGGACCACTGCTGCGCTATTACAATTCCAAATATGGTATCAAAACTCCTAATTTGTATAACTGAATATTCTGGAGCATAGTTAATAGTGTTACCCGTTTCAACCCCGTTATGCTTTATGAGTTTCTGCTTTTAACCTAGGAAATAGTTGCGATCTCTTGTGTGAATTGAATGTAGGTTATCAAGAGAAAATGAAGTAAGAGAAGGAATCCCCCCTATATAGCCTGGCAACCATCATGTGCACAGTTTGATGCTATTTTTAAACCATTTGTTTTTCTGAACGCGCATTTACTGCGCGCGCTCTACGCTGTTTGCTTTCGTTTTTGGGGTTTTCCCGTTATTTCGACTCTGCCCTGAATATGAATGTGCACGTCGAAAGCTTGGCAAATACGATAGGAAATTGAGTAGCAATTTGTTTAACTTTCTGGAGTATTTTTACATTTATCTTCCAAGGCTTTCGACCTACATCGTCATCTTGAGGGCAGATTTGAATATTTGAACATAAGAAAAGCACAAGAAAACGTTAGCAAACAGCGTAGAGCGCGCGCATGTTATGCGCGTGCACAAAATCAAGCGATCAAATAAATGATATTTTTAGAATAGATTCTAAAAACTGCATCAAAGTGTGCAAATGATAAGGTTCGGGGATTCCTTATCTTAGTTTATATGCTCTTGAGGTTATTTTTTGTATGTTGTCTGAACAAATGCAATTTTGTTAGATTTGTTATTCTATGTGCTAATTTTGTTGTTTCTCCATTACTGTTTTAGCATCACTTTTAGTGTCAAGAAGGAGGGTTGGGGTGGCGGAGGATCAAGAGCCATCACCTTCTCAAAGGGCGATTCAGAGTTCCCGCTCATGAAAGCATCAGGCAAAACTCTTAATGTCAGTATAGCAACAGGGTTACCAAAGGAAACAAGTAAGGACACTTATTTTTATGCGTTAATACGTTTTGTCTACTTTGTGATGCTAACAACATGTCACCAGCATGTTATTATTTGTAATGAGCCATTCCAAGGTTGACGAGCAAACTGGGTAGAGTTGGCATTGCAGTGCATTTTGGGGCTATCTTAGGTGCGTCTATTTCGTCCCCTAAAGCAGGCCCAAATGCACTGCAATGCCAACTTGACCCACTTTTCCCCCCAACCAATACCGCCAAAATTGGACGAGGTCGCAGGCTGAGTCTAATTATTTCTTAATTGGACAGCATGGATTCCTGTTATCTATCAATTATATAGCTACTATTAATTCATATAGGTAAAAGCTTGATTATTTTTTTAATTTTCAAGAACTGTCCAATTAGCATAGGTAATAGTACTATATGCTGTCCAATTTGGAAATAATTGAATGAAAAAAAAATTCAGAGGACTGACAAAATTGGAAAAAGCCAATAGGCCGAGTCTATTTTGGCAGTCAGAGGAATTTTTTTAATTCAATTATTTCCAAATTGGACAGACATGTAGTACTATTGCAGATTACAGTCAACTCTCGTTACAGCTAACACTCTCGGGACCGTCACCTCATGTGCGTAATAGCGAGTGTCCGCAATAGCGAGAGTTTTTTACGGTCATTTTCTTTGTCATCATTGTCGGGGATTTTTCTCCTGTCCGTAATAGCAAGGTGTCCGTAATATCGGGGTGTCCGCAAGGCGAGAGTTCACTGTAATTGTATCATCCCAAACTATACTAGACTGATTCTATAAGTCATAGTTTTCCCTCAAAAGAATGCGAATGGCAGGAAAGAGAATTTGAAAATAATGCAATAGTTGCTTATATGGGATTATTTAATGATGTTACAATATTAAGAAAATAACTGTACAGTTTACCTATATGGGATTAGTAGGATACAATGGACTGCTTCGACGATACGGTGGCCATCTTTGATCGCAAGGCATTATGGGTCTTTCAAGGGAGAACCAACAAACAACTCTAATCACATACGACACCGAATCTAGGATTCGAACCTGGGTCCCATTGGTGAGAGGCGGTGCAGTATAATGAGCCCACTGCGTTTGGCGGCTTAACCCATTATGACATAAAATCAACTAAATCTCACGATTTTAAACTGCGCGGTAGCTCTGAGTGGCATTATACAACATGCTTTATGAATCTAGCGTAATTCAGCCAGCCACCTTTCCTTTCCTTTAACACTTGGATTTTCTAATAATCACTTAGGGCCAGGGAAATTGCCAACGAAGATAAGCCACAGTCCAGCCAAACCACATCGGGGTGCACCTAGAGCCCCGTCTAGCGCAGCATATGCGCGTCCTCATAATCGTTCACGTAGCGCCTCCAACGCTTTTAGACAGTCTTCTATCCAGCCTCATCTTCCATCCTCTGGAGCACAACATTTAGCCAAAGGACAGGCACAAGTTGATGTTCATTCTGGCTTTATGATGACACCAGAATCTGGAGTTTGTGGGTGAGTACATTGACAAATGATCATTGTATTGAAAACGAGCAATGTTAATAAACCAATTATAATGCTGTACTAACTAAAGGGATTGCCTTTATTGTTGTGTGCGTCTTGTTTAATCACATTTCTGTGTCGTATAAACTGTTGTCCGTTATGTGTCGTATTACATGTTTGCTCAAGAACTTAAAAAAGATACAAGCCAACAACCACAAACATTTGTCCATTATAAGACAAAATATTCGTATTACCAGCAACATTACTTGCAAATTATTTAAATATGATTCTCTGTTTAAAACGCTGTAAAGGTCAAAATGAGAGACAAAATATTCGTATTACACTAGGTTAGAGGATCGCGCCATTACCAGCAACCTCACTTGCAAATTATTTTAATATTCTCTTTTTGCAACGCTGTGTGTGTGCTTGCTTCCTTAAGTATTCTTTGAAAGCTTTAATCTTTCAATCAAAGAATTAGCCGTCTTTATGCATTTTGAATGAATTTTGCCTCTTCATCGCATTTAGTAGTCTTTACTGCTACTTTCCACGCAATTTCAATAACAGCCTTTCAAAGTGTATTACATTGAATCGAAGAAACTTTATCCGTTACTTCAGCTACATTTAAAGTCGTATGTAGAAGTAGAACCTACTTATTCTAGTAAAGGCCGAAAAGCGATTGCAGTTGTGAAAAATCGAAGTTCTTTTTATTTCCCCATTATTTTGTTAAAAAACTGAAAGGGCTTGCTGGCAGAAAATCTATTTTGTGCGATTTTGTAAAAACAAAAGCTGCTGAACTTTTAAATGTAAAACGTGTGTATGTATATGTAAGTCTTTAAATATATATTACATTTTATATAAAATTAAACATGCATGCCCTTATAGTCTATATAGCCTTTTAGTCAAATCCGACTAAGTGGTCTATCATCAATGCTGCGTTCTCGGACTGGATCAACTACTTGACTATAAGTCGTAGCCTATTAGGGCTATTAGTAGTGAAAAGTGCTGGTCTCGAAGACTTAAACATTAAATTTAACTTTGATTCAAAATTGTTTGCATCTATATATTTGACCGTCTAGTTGGATTTGACTAAAAAATTAGTCCTTTCGCCCTCATGGCCTATGAGTCAAAAACCTATTCAGACTTCGGTCTCATGGGCTATTGACTCATAGCCTATTCGGGCTCGAGGACTAAGTGCTAAATACTTTTAGTACTGTTCATTTTGTTATCAAACTCGTTTAAACGCAATAAATTTTTCTAACTTGTGCTTCTTTCGTTTTAAAATATTTCAGTAAATTATAAAAACTTATAGATCTAAACTCCGTCTTAATATAAAACGAATTCATGTAAATACGAGGCTGGGAAATTTTGGGAAACCAGTTTGTATTTTGTATGCCGGTTCAAGACTTTTACTCATTTATTAGTAACTGAAATTCAGTCTTACATCCAGTGATGTTATCCGAAAGAAAGTCAACACCTTTCACGAAATAAGTTAACTTCATGAATAATGTGGGAACCGTTACATCAAGTTCGTTGTCTTGTGTTTTTTTTTTTTTTTTTTTTTTTTTTTTTTTTTTTTTTTTTTTTTTTTTGCTCATGCACCACTCAGTCGTAAGCCCAATCCCATTCAATTTCTAAATCTAAGATTCGTTTCAGTTACCAATTCTAACCAAATAACATCTTAAAACTTCTCAACTGTGAACAGATTCAACCGTTCCAACCCTGGGCCTGGTAAAGTCCAACGCATTCCAAACCGTGGCTGTGTAAGCTATTCCGCCGGAAGTGGTAGAGTCATTGAACGAGTGAAAGCAGTACGCGCTAAATCTGTATCGTTTGGTGAGAGTGATTCGATGCAAAAAGAGAGAGCCCAGCGACATTTTGAAGCAGTAAGGGCAACCCTACAAGACGCAGGCGAGGATACACCCGGAGATGTTGGTGAAACTCTGCAGTCACAACCGCAGCGAGGCAAGTACAGAGATTTAGACTTCGTCAAAGCCATTACAGAAAATATCCAAATCAAAAATGCGAGTGCAGGATCAAAACCAAACGTCCAGTACCATAAAGATGCGTACCCTCCAACTACTATCGAAATTTGCAGCACCGATTTTAATGAAACTTGTTCAACTAAAAAGTTAGCAGATGGAATAGCAAAGCAACGCGTTGGCTTATCGCATAATGACGGGAACCAAGTATTCTATACTGAATATGGGAGACAGAGATCGACAGATGACACGACCAGGCTACAATCTAGAACTGGAACCTTGCCACACTTTGATTGTAACGAAAAGACAAAAGGCTCAAGAACACGGCGGCTTCCTAGACCTGCAACAGCTCACGAGCTTACTTTGGCTAGTTTTGCATCCACTGCGAACGATATGAATGCGTACAAGAGTAGCCAGATGGCTTACGGTACGCTACCTTCTAAACACCGTTCATGCCGACCGGTCACGACCCATGAGTGTACGTTTGCTGATTATTACAGTCAAAGTTACTTAGAGAGATCTATGTTGAACTGTAGACAAGACAATGGTAGTCGTGATTTTAATATTTTACAGAAGCAGGGAGCACAGGTGCGTCAAGCGACTATTCCTCATGGATATCGAACAGCTAGCTATCGAATGGCTATGACGGGCCAAAAGCATAACAAAGTACTACGAGATGTTACGAAATTAACCCATGAAACTATCAGTGAAGCAACACATTTAAGCGGCATTGAAAAACAAGCTTCGTGCAATGTTGTGTCATCCGGTCATCGCACAAAGAGTAAACTAACTAAGAATGATGATTATGTGAGCATGGAAAATCTGCATGCTACTTCACCTATTGCGGCAAAGCAAGACTCCGTAGCCGATGTGCATTATTCCTTGGCTCATTTCTCTATTGACAAAGATGGCAGGGAAGGTGACGATGCACGAAGACGAGCCGTAAGCATCGATTATTCCAAGAAATCCGTTTCAGTCCCTACGAGTGGAACTAAAAAAGCACCACTGAAAAGTATTTTAAAGAATCCTACCAAGCATACAGAAGTAAATAGTAAAAGCGGAGCTTCCACTTTTAACGCAAAACAGATACCCCACATAAAATCATCATCTTCTAGTTCGAATGATGGAAATGTTCCTACTGTAGAAAAGAATGGTATTTTCTTGACTTCTTTTCCGGTTACCCCTAATAAGCCAGTTACAGAGAAGATTATTTCCAAAGAAGAAGACTTCACTTTAGAAACCGCGGGAAGTAAGAACGTATTGCATCACAAAGCATTAATTCATCATTCGGGTGATGAATCAAGTAAAACAACTGTAGCGGAGTGTCGCGACACTAATAACAAATCTCCCAAGAAAACGTTTTTAGAGAAGACTGACACTGCAGCAGATGCACACGACGTATGTACCGAAAGTGTACACCAAGTAATCCGCTCTGATTCAAAAGTTGATGATTCTTGTTTAGACGTTGTGAAACCCATTTGGCCTGCTCCTCCGCCACCTTTACAAGGCGCTCTGACAAGGAATACCTCTTTCAAGTGTGACGAAAATAGAGCAACTTTAACACGCTCAAAAAAAAGACGTGCTCCACCCGTGCCATCTAAGGACTTGCCTTCAAGAGGAATAGGAGACTGTAACTCACAGTCGCAGAAAACTAAAGAGTATGGTGGCAATGTAACTGATGCTCAAACTAATACTATGGAAGAAAAAAAGAAGGAAGAAGGGGGACCGCCTGAGAGAAATGGAGAATTAATCAAATACCTACGAGAAATTGCAAGTCGTGCCATGGAAATGGCATCTGACGTACCTCTTGATTCTAAGGAGAAAAACAGTGATGCTGGTGCGACGAATCCTGATTATGTCAACTATGATTGGTATAATCAGTATTATGCGAATCACGGTATCAATAATTTAAATGCTTCATACTCTGAAGATGACTACTTCAGTGATGACGAATTTGATGATGATTTTGACGGTGATGATAGTGAGCTTGATGAAACTGACTTTCACGAAAGGTGAGATTTCAAAGGGAGGCAAAAATCTAAAAATTACCATAATATACTTAAATAATAAAAAGTTAAAAAGCAAAATAAAAAAACAATAGTTGTCCCCACATTTCCCGGCGCTATCTTGAAAGATAACTGTGCCTGTCCATCGAGGTGAGGACAGCCGTGGCCTCGCAATAATAGAGACGTCCAAGGCGTTAAAAAAGGTCTCTATCATTGAAAGCATGGTCACCTCTGTCCTCTCTTCGATACACATGCACGGTCACCTTTTAAGATGGCGCAGGGAACTATGATGTGGACTATCCTAATCCAGTTCAGTCATGATAAAGCTATCGTAAAACGGGACGATTAACCATCAACTAATTAAAGCTAAATTCAATTCTAAATGATTCAAATCAGTCAGTTCAAATCATAATTTAAAACATGTTTAAGCTTTTAGATATAAAGATACCCAACAACATAGCTATTTAGAAGTTAAAACATTTTTTGCTCACTCAATAAACTAAACCCTTTACCATAAATCTAAATGGTTGTTGTAAAGGTTGCCGGGCTGAGTCATGGTAGTATTAGTGTCCTTCGTTACATAAAATACGAACCAAACTTTTTTGCTCTTTGCGACGAAGAACATTTTTTGCGCGTAACTTGAACAATTTCTTGTTCTCGCATTACTCATTCGTCAGGTGTTATGGAAGCAATTGGCACAAAAATAACCTTAGCAATGTTCAAATACCGCTTGGCTAATAACCAGACTAATAGTTTTCAATACTCTTTAAATGAACAGCGTCCAAAGAGATTCTTCCAGGAAGAAAACTCGCCCTCCAGCACCAAACAAGCCCCGGCTGCCTCCTAAACCAACGCCCTGCCTTCCAAAATGTCGAACTCTTTACCCGTACGATGCTTCAGACGTTGACGAATTGACTTTCCAACCAGGCGATATAATTGAAATCGTTAAAGAAGGTAAGATGAGAATTTGATATTGTCAACTAAACTAATTTTAAGATTCACTTCACAATAAAGGACATGCCATATCAAACTTTTCAAACTTACACTACAAGAATGTTTAGTTGAGATTTGACAATAATAAGGTCATTGTAGATGTTTCAAATTATGGGGGGAGGGGAGAGAATTAAAAATGTATGACATACTTTTATCTTCCACTCTCCATCCCAGAGCCTTGTCATTTTACTACGTATGCTCGTCAAATTACCAGAAACTCTGGTAATGGATGGTAACCAAAAACCTGGCTACTTGATATGTAATGTGCATGCTCAAATTGGATTTGAATGGATGTACCTTTCTCACGCTCTGAAACAATAGATTTTGTCAGGTTCTCCTAAACAAAAGTTTTTTAAAATTTGCTTTCGAGGAAAAGCCATTTATTGATTAGATTTCTCAAAAGGTGTATAAGAGGAATCAATAATCCAGTTGCTATTTGTTAGCCAGACCCCCCTTACCGCCCCTGATTTCAGTGGGTTTTTTTTCTTCCAATGAAGTGATCTTGATAACACGAACGAAAACGAGGCTCGCGTATTCCCTTTAAGCCGTTTTGCATACTGTATTTTTAGCGTTTCCACGCCTTCTTTCCACTATCTTATATATAAATAAATAAAGTTACATTTGAAAGAAATAGAATAAAACACGCAGAGTTATGGTAAGAGTAATATTACATCATTCCTATAATACCAGATTTGCATATAACGGAAATATTGTTCGACCATCTGACCAAACAAATAATGGCAAATTCACTTTCCAGTTTTCAGTAAAAATGGGGGAAAAAAACAAAAATAATGCATCTGATGTGGTCACAATCATAAGTAAATTTAATCACTCTTTTTTATTATTTATTTATTTATTTATTCTATATATCAGTATAATATATTTATGTAATATATACAGTATGCGTGGCCGTGTTGTATCAGATACAGTCAATTCAAAAAACGTTGTCGTCGACCGGCTCAAGCCTACGCGACTTGACCGAAAGGAATATGTGTAAAAATCACTGAAGCGGTTAAATATTCGTTCTGAATTAATTGTTCCCTCTAGTAATAAGATAATAATGGCCAGAAACAATCCATCAAATGCATGTCTTTGGGTTTAGGGAAAAAACAAAGTAGTTATGATTTAGTTCACAGTTTCGAAAATATGAAGGCATTAAAAAAAGTCTCCTTCAACACTTTCCGCTCGCCTACGAAGGTTCGTGCTGTAAACCAGGCATAACTAGTCAGATAAAATGATGGAGTCAACTCGGCTTCAATGATTACTACCCAGAGTTCCTTTCGGTCCAGTCGCGTAGGCTTGAGTTGGTCGACGACAACATTTTTTGAATTGACTGTATACAAACTTTACTGGATACAACACGGACACGAATACTGTATATTACTTGTCAAACGTCTAGGTTAGTTCCTTTGTGTTTCACTAAAATTTTCAAAATTAAAGCGAATCTGGCCAAGAAAATCCAACTTAAAGTTTATGCAAATGAACACAATTTTGTATCAGATTTACAACGCTCTTCACGGTCGTGATTTCTGTTGTGTTTTCCTCACGAATTATTCATGAGTTTGATAAATTACATTACATTATTTATATATTATAGTCGTACGTAGTGCTTAAAAAACGAGTAGGAGTGTTTTATCAGGTATGCTTTCTTTTCTTTGTAATATTTTTTTACAATCTATATGGGTGTAAATTCAATAATGTCTAAGTCTATTGAGCTCACAAATGTAGGGTCAGGGGATAGTTCCTGATATTCTTAAAATCTCTAAAGTTACAGGATGTTTGTATAGGCTGCATGATACTTCGTAGTTCCTCGTTTACCGCATTATTTTATGGTTTAAAAAATATCCATCTTTTAAACTTTGTAAAAGGGCTTTTGTTAAATTTAAGAACATAGATTCATCGGGTAATAAAAACCCTACGACACTATATTTGACACAGGTATTCGGACCCAAGCAAGGGGGAGGTGGTGGGGGAGAACGTGCGTGAAAAATGATTAAAGAAAAATGATAAAAAAGAAAAGACATAGATAAATAAAATAAAATAAAACAAACATCAAGGCAGTGGGCGATTGAAATAGTTGAGCGTACGAGATATATATGAGTATAATATGGATAGGTATCGCAGATAGATAGCAAAGGTACAGTAAATGATACAAGTACGTTGTATAATGTATATTGAATTGAGAATAAAAGCGTATCGAGTAAAGGCAAAGTTACGAAACATGAGCGGTTTGGTGCGATTATAATATGAAATATCAAAATAAGAAAGTTCTGGGATAGTCGTTCGGTTTAAATATCATATATGTTCTTTGAACAGAGGTCACTCTTGTCATGCTAAACAATGAGTAAACAGGCCAAAATACACGTCCTAAATCCCACGTTCCAAAATAAAGGAACTTGGTCTAAAAAAACTCACATGTATTTAATATGACATCCCAAAGTCTAGTTGATGTAATGTTTTGGTACTGTTTCGGTGTTTGGTAACATACCCTGGGTGCCAGAGGCCGTGTGGGGCTTTATGGCCTCTGGCACCAAGGGTATTGGTAACATCCCCCAAAAAACCAAAAATTGTTTTGTTTTGTTTCAATGTGCACAATAAACAATCAATTCAATCAATTGTCATGTTTATACAAATTTTGAAATTACTCAAAAGTGATTTCTGTCGCTTTGCTATGCAACCAAAGTTTAAAACTTGTCTTAACAATGTGGCCTATTCTCTTTACATAAAAGCATTTTAGCTTAACAGTTAAGCCACTGCCCTCCCTCCAAGTGATATAAACTTAATATTTCATGAGAGCAGTCAAAGGAAACATTCGCCGATCTTCGACTGACAGCGTGCAATTCGAATAAAATATCTTAATAATTCAGCCAAAAAGCAAAAACAAAAATATTTTCCATTTACTCGTTCTTCGTCGCAGGCCAGAAGAAACGCAGGCTCTGGGTACGAGATTGGTGTCTCTGGCATTTCATCGAGCATGCGCAGAAAGAATGACAGGGATTTGGGCTTGAGAGCGAGAAATACTAACTGAAACAAAATTATGAAACTTGATTTAAACCGAATATTTAATTTTTGTATTTAATTCTTTCAATTTCCTACAGACGCATCTGGTTGGTGGACTGGAAAGCTGAAGGGCAAAGAAGGACTTTTTCCTTCCAACTACATAGAAAAGATTTGAAAAAGTGTATGAAAGAAGCCAAAACTCTCCCACGCTAGCATGGAAAATAGATAGATTTCTCATTTGTCTTCAAAATATTGCTTTAACGCTAGCGTAGAGGCAGTAATATTCGTAGTTTATGGCTACACCAATGTTCAATGTCTAACTATTGGTAGATGCAATACACGTCCTAAATGATGCAATAACATTAATCGAATTTTAAAAGTTTTATTCTTAATTATTTTAAGCATTCAATCGTTTGCAGAAATCAGTATATTTATTGGCAAGGGACCGTTTATATTGAGAAAGCTTGTCCCTGGTGGGCGAGCTAACTTTTCCATATTTTCTTTGTAAAATTCATCTCGACCGTTCATATGAGATATTTAACTATGCCTAGGCTAGAAGGGCCACCGTCTCTGCGAAAGAGGGTGACCCTGGACAACTTTTTCGTTTGAGCATGCGTATCTCCATTGAAACCGATAGTTGTCCCGGGTTTATAGGGACAACTTCTCTCCATATAAACGCTCGATATAGTTGGCTCGAGTAGCAGGGACAAGTTTTCTCCATGTAAACGGCCCCTTAGTCAGGAATTTACATTAAGAACTCCGGCAATGAAGCTAATAATTAGCTAATAATTTCTGTGAAAAAGGGCCATAGCAATGGTTTTTGAGTTAATTAAAAAATGTTTCATAAATATGTGTTGTGGAAGTTTCGATCAATTAAAAAAAAAACATTCCAAAAGTGATGATATAATAATTTGATCATTAATTGTTAATTATTATACTGATGGATAAAAAGGAAATAAAAATCAAACAGTTGCCTGGATATTTTTGGTTTGCCTGTAATCTGTGCCAATGTTTTCTTATTATGTTTTCTTAGACAAGACGTAGTAGTTTATGTAGTCGTAGTAGTTTATTGAATCTCATGAATTAAATTACATTGGAGTGTATAACCAATAAAATGAAATGTAATATAATATAGTAAGAATAACTATTAGTCAAATGCAACTAGTGTTCTAGAGTACAAACACTATAAATGTGTAACACTGCTAAACAATGCTAATCCTATTGTTTTCTATTGTTTAATTAGCACTATTTACCACTAAATACTGCAAAGTGTTGCACACTTTTAGTGTTTGTACTCTATCATCAATGCTGCATTCTGATCGCATCTTTATATTTGATCGACTAATTGGATTTGACTATGCTAAGTGCAGTCATAAAGCATGCGGGGGTTGGCAGAACACGAGAGAACCAACCAATCAGAACACGACATTTATAACTTTATCAGAGATAAAGGTGCATCCAAACTTAGATGAAAACTTAGGTCCTGTTTACATGGGAGGAGGACGATCCTACAGCAAAGATCTACCTTGCAGGCGAATCAACCTATCTGCATACATTTATTGCATTGCGTTTACATGGGAATCTGCGGACTTCTTTCGGGTACTAGGATCTTCCTGTCTGAAAGATAGGAATATCCTAGTACTGGGATTGTGTTTGACTCTAGCAAAACACATGTAAACGAAAAAGAGAGAGAATTCGCCTACTAGGACTAAGGGATATTTATCTTGGGACTTCTGTGGTATGAATGTGAGTAATTACTCCCCTTTCGCTACGTACCGTTCTCTAACCGCCACCCGGTTAGCTCAGTTCGTGGTTCAAGCCTCGGCCTGTTGAATTATTTGTGTAAGAGTAGGGGATTGTCTCCCGGTTCAACAGCCTATCCCAATTTGGAGGCATAGCGCTAATGTACAAATAAATCACTCATGATTGTAAGCTGCACGGCTGCTAATAGCGCCTTAATATGCAGCCCGTAAAGTCCTCCACTGCACTGTAAAGCGCATTGAGACATTGTGAATGCGCTATAGACAACCCCATCATTATTTTCATGTAAACTAAACGCAAAAGTTATTTCGTCTGCAAGGAAGATCCTACCCGATGGATCATTCTCCTCCCATATAAACAGGTCCTATCAAGGTTAGTCTCACGTACGATCATCGACGACCCACAAAGTATTTATTTATTTATTTGAGCCAACCGCGTGGCGATATGAAGTATGAGTTGGACATGGTTTCTTCAACTTGTGGGAGCCTTTTTGACTCACTGCGCAGGCAGTGACGTACAAACCTCACTGCACATGACAAAGATGATCTATCAAAGGACACGAGTGAAAAAAGTTTGCGCATGCTTTAAATCCGTATGCAAAGTAGTCAAAACTATTAGTCGATGATGCATGTCTTCATGTTATTGCCCGAGTTGAGGACTGGGAACGAGTTTTTAGAGTTAGCCTAGTTAAAAGAGTACATTGAAATTAGTAAATTTCTGGGTTTTCAAGATTTTGGGTATGATACTCTTGCTTCGTGTTTCATTAGGGTTTCCAAACACGAGAAAACATTAAGTGCTTAGTCGTTCTAGCGCTTTCGAGTAAATAAATATATTTTATTTATCTGGTCGTTCTAGCGCTTTCACACTAGTTGGGGACACTTTTCACTCACACGCACTACCACTACATTCAATAATCTATGCACACAATGCTCAACTCACATGTTGATTTTTACAGAGGGAGGAAACATGAGAACCCGGAGAAAACCCTCGTAGAGAACAACACATCAAACAAAATCAATTCAAGTGACGACCGCAGGGCTCAAACCACCGAACCGACCAGCGTGACTCACATGCTACCCATCAATTTGCTTTTATTACTTTCGCTTTGATTGTTTTCGAGTGTTTCGAAACCCTAATGAAACACGAAGCACGAGTTTTTGGAATTACTTCTCTAATGAGTTAACAATTCATTATGCAGGAATTATTTTCTGTGTTATTTGCTTGTTTTTATTGTGTTATTTAATATACCTAGAGCAGTAATATGGGAAAAACATTAACAAAATATAGATCCAACCCAACTTTGTCAGCGAATTCCATAGTTGGTAACGCACTAGACTACGAGAAGGATCTTGTCTCAAGTTCGAGACATGGTAAGTCCAAGGTAAAAAGAAAAGAAAAAGGTAATTATGTAGATAGAAGCATAAAAAGTAAGTAATGGAGGAGAGAGAGGTACAGAAATGAAACAAATGGGTGGGAAGTGGATGAGAAATTCTTCTAGCTATTTCGATACAACCACGACAAATATTTAGATTAATACTAATATTAATGTTTAATATTATTTTTTTATAAAAAAATTAGTTTATTCGGAAACTTAAACAAATAAAACTTATTAGTATGGATCTTGATAAACATTTGATTAAGAAAATAAGCGTAAGAATTGCTGAACGTTTCGATGACACCCAGTCCGGAATTAGGGCAACACACTTGGAAGATTTCTTACCACCCTTGTCATTGTTATGCGGCTGATCGAGACAACGGTAAGGCTGCGTTCATAATGTATGGCAGAGGGGGTAGGGGTGGGG